TTAGTCAGCCTCTTCCACACAGCTATTCAAGCTGTAGGAAAGAGACGTACGAAGCAGGGTAGGGGAGCCCCCTGGTGGACAGAAGAGTGCGCAGAAGCCCACAGAGCTGCCTGTAACGCCAGGCGCCAACAGGCCCAGGAACATGTGCTAGTTATACCTCCCCCTATCCTAGAGGAGCAAAAGGCCTTCCTAACTACGGTTAGAAAGGCAAAGCGCGCCTACTAGACTGCTAAGATTGAAGAGGCTAAGTCAGACCAAGACCTGTATAAGATAGTAGGCTGGCGGAAGGCTGGCTTAGCTGTTAAAAGCCCGCCTCTTATAGTAGAAGGTCAGATAATCGACAACAACTACGATAAAGCCCAGGCCCTACGAATGGCCTTACTAGAGAGATTTAACGCTACAGACGACTTACCTGGGGACCCTTTTACTATCCCAGTAGTTACACGGCGTTTAATGCCCTAGCAGGATATAGTTAGCATGGAAGAAGTACGCCATGCTACTTTGACAACGACTACAACCCCTGGGATTAACGGGATTACTACAAAGTTACTACAGCAGACCTAGGAATCAGTAGCTAGGCCTATATAGCAGCTCTTTTAGGCCTATATTTAAGTAGGCCACTTCCCTAGACCGCTCCGTAAAGCAGAAGTTATTATGATCCAGAAGCCAGGGAAAACAGATTTCTTAAAGACTGGATCCTGGCGTCTAATCTCCCTTTTATCCTGTTTAGGTAAAGGCCTAGAGCGGCTGATAGAAAAGAGGATGGCATACCTCACCATCTTAGAAGGAGTTGCTAGCCCACAGCAGATTGGGGCACTGCTAGGAAGGGCTGCAGTCGACCTGACAACCTGTCTAACCCATGAGATAGAAAGCGCTCTAGACTCAGGGCTTACTGCAACTCTAGCAACAATGGACGTCAAGGGGGCGTTTGATTCCGTTCTACGAAATCGACTTATTATTAGGCTACGGCAGCAGGGCTGGCCTGGTAGCCTAATGTCAGAGCCCTCCCGGATAGGGGCTAGTTAGAGGTAGTAAGGAGTCCAAGCAACAAAGGAGCAGCTCAGATATATATACAGCGCAGGGAGTACACGTCGAGGGAGGAGCAGATTTCAGTAATTCATCATTCTACCCCTAACTGCAGTTGGCCTCTGAGAGCTTCCACCCTGCGTCAACAATCCCAACTTGACACCTAATTAGGCTGATCTTTACCTTCACCTCCAGCCGAACTGCTCGGGTCAGGCTAGAGGACACTACTACAGAGGACTTCCCCCTATCCTGTGGGCTGCCGCAAGGCTCCCCACTATCCCCGATACTCTTTTTACTATACATAGCCGATATCCTAGCTAATACCAAAAGCTTCGGTTTGGCTATGCAGATGATATAGGTCTATTAGCTATTAGCCCGACGCTAAAAGATAATGCCACAGCCTTAGGCCAGGACATTACTTACATCCTCAACTGGGGCACTGATAACAAGGTTGCCTTTGACCCAGCTAAGTGCGAGGCAATCCACTTTAGCAGGAAGCATAACCAGATAAGGGATATACCAGATATACAGGCAAGAGGCCTAACTATTAAGGCCTCGACCAAGCCCATACGATGGCTAGGGGTCTGGTTCGACAAGAGACTCACCTTCCGGCACCATGTGGAAATAAAGGTCGCAGCAGCAAAAAAGGTAGCCCATTTCCTACGGCACCTAACAAACACAAAAGGGGGGCTACCAGCAGCTGCTGTGCGTAAAGCGGCCGTCGCCTGTATCTTACCTACAGTCCTCTACGGAGCTGAAACCTGGTATGCAGGCTTATACAGACCAGCCTTAAGTAACAACACCAATACCAGTAGTGGTACTACTATGCAGATAGCTACTATAGGTACGGGACAGAAGGGCCTGGTCCGCAAAGTCGGGAAAGTTATTTCAGCAGCGGCAAGGGCTATCCTACCTGTCTGGAGGACCACACCAACTAGCAGCCTCCTTCGTGAGGCTGGCCTGTCCACAGCAGAGGTTGCCCTCGAAGCAGCACGACTACGCTTTGCTACGCGGCTACAGAAGGTTGACCAACAACATCCCTTGGTCCCAAGGCTCTGGCAGCAGGGGCGGCAACGGACAAGACTTCAAAGAACAGCTGGCCTGTTACCTAAATACCCAAGGCCTTTACTCATACAGCCGCAATACCCCCCAGGCTCACAAGACCTCATAACCCTAGAGCGTAAGGAGGATACAGCTAAAGCCTTCCAAGCCTGGCTCAAGACCGTACCAGACAATCATACAATCGTCTACTCAGACGGCTCTAAAGCCGCTAGTGGGGCCACGGGGTTCGGCTTTATTATCTATCGCAAGAATAGACCTATAGCCCAGGGCTGCGGCCGCCTCGGCTTAGCAGAGGTATTTAACAGTGAGGCGGAAGGGGCGTGGGCGGGGCTCCGACGGGCCCTCCACACCTCTCAGGGCCAGCCGATACACATCTACATCGATAATACCAGTATCATCCAGGGAATCCGTGGCAAGGTCCCAGACTCCTCACAAGCTGCCTTCTTAGAGATCCAGGAGGTAGCTAGGATATATAATATACGAACCTATTAGTCCCCGGGGTACCAAGATATTAAAGGAAACGAAGAAGTAGACAGCCTAGCTAAGGAGGGAATAACTCTACCAGTCCCTAGGGGCTAACTAGCTATTTTATCAGGTATCAAGTGGCTTGCTAAAGAGCGGCCAAGACGCCAATATAGACGATGGTGGAAACAAGAGGCAACTCCCCGCTATACCCAACTAGGGCTCAAGACTACCCTTGCTTGCCCTCCTGAACTTGGCCTCCCTAGGGCTGCCCTTCATCACCTCCTCGCGGCACGGTCAGGCCACGGGGACTTTAAACAATATCACCAACGCTTTAACCACACAGAAGCACTACTCACCTGCTCCTGTGGATGGGTTAAGGAGGCAGACCATCTAGTCTACTGCCGAAAGACCCTACTGAGGAGGCAACAGTGGCCCACCCTCTACCCCTACAGCCGCCAGGAGCCCGTAGGACCTATAGGGTCCCTCGATCGCTACTTCAAGGGGCTAATCACTGACTCTGAAGGCTTCCAGGCCTTCCTCTGCGTGACAGACTTCTTCCAGAAGATCTGCCCACGGTACTAGGAGATAGGTCATAACCTATCCTCCAAACGACAAACTACCTCTATTAAGAAACCAGATGGTTATAACGGAACTAGGGCACCAGTAGGAACTAGGGATGGATAGAACATATAGTAGCTCACGAGCAAGACTTGGAGGACGTCAGGATACGGCGTGTACTATATAGTATTTAGCTAGAGCCTGCGACCCTTCACGCCACATACCCTCCGGGAGGTCTGCCGCAAGGGCGGCTGCGCCCTTGCCGCCATGGCGTTAAATATAAAACAAACAAACAAGTAAGAGACAGCTTGCATTCCATGAACTATTATACGCCGTTGTTGACGTGAGCTTTGCAGACTGAAATAGCTTTGTGAATCTGCCATCACTTCAATTGGGCAGCTTAGTTAATCTCTAGATTTGGACTTGGGAATATTTGCCGAAAAGATCCCAACTGTAAATGCGGTTGGCTTCAAGTAACAAATGTTTTGACTCGTCTCAGCAATTCCCCGCGAATTCTACGCCCCACTCTCGCCATGTCGTCTCTTAAATCAAGCAAACATATCATCAAACTTTTCCTCCTGCTGTAGCAAAACGTGCGTTCTCTTCTGGCTTGTCGGATTTCTTTAAACTCATGTGCTTTTTCTCGATGACTTGTTGTTCACGAGCTTCCCATCGCGTAGTTGCACATCGACCTGTGCAACAACTTTGCCTATCTGACGGGATAAATTAACGCCAGTAAGCTCTCCATTGCTTCTCAAGATGAGGCGATCTTGCAAGTTATTGCGGTCGTTGAGGTGCCTTGCAACAAGGTAATTGTGTCTCTTGCTTAGGGTCTCACTATAGAATTCAGATAAATTGGATGAGTTATATGACGAAAAACTTCTTGTCACACGGGATATGAACATACTGGCTTTGAGAGGCTGAGGAAGAAGGCATGATTGGAAATGGAGCTTTTGAGCTGAGTCGTGAACACGCCTTTTGGTGGCCACTGATGGAGGATCTGTGGTCGGTGATTGAGCAAGTCCGATAACCATACCGAAACTAAGGTAAATCCGAAAAACACATCGAATAGAGAGGAACTGGATCAGGAGGAAAATTGGCATGTCATTGAGGCGATAATTATAAACATCCAGAGGCGTTACAAGATAGAACGATCTTGTTCTGCTCGGCGGCATGGTTTTCAGAAATAAAGGCGCAAGATGCGACCTTCTGGTCTAATATGATTCAACTGACAGTCATTTGAAAAACTTAACAAAACTTTTCATTTGAAGCTCGATTTCGTGAAACTCAACCTGACTTAAGAACTACCAACCACATGTGATGAAGCGCTCATGCGCCCTAGCAGCAGGTCTGCAAACTCCCCTGCTCTGTGATAATAGTGTGCGTATGAGCCTTGAAAGGGGGCAAATTACATGCAGCTCTAAGTATTCAGCGATGATGGCCCAAGAAGAGCATTCATGGAACTGAACGAATATTTAGATTCATTTGAAATGTAAAAAGCCTCGCTAGGCTTCCCACCACGTCTCAGGCAACACCTCACCCGCCTTATCGCGCTCAGCTACTCACCGAAAACGCCTCGCCAAGCTGTGTAACTCTGGCAGCATGATTCATTGGTTGACTCTGGCCCAATCAGATATATTCATACTAATTCAACTGTACTGGACCTGTGCAGGCCAATGAAATCATCGGCTTTGCCGCTGTGCCACTCCCTGCGGCATTTCTTCCATACTCTCTTGCAGATGTTTTGCAGGTTCGGTTATGGGCGGTGTCATTTTGTCTGGGACCTTTGGCCATCTTCGATGGGTTGCAGTAAATTGAAGCTGAATCTCAAACTTTTGAAAGTGAAATGGCCCAATCTCACCCCCTGATACCACACCCTTGTCAGAAGTTAGCTTGGATGGCACGTGTCCCCAGTATCTGGTCTTTGAATCATCCTAATTTCTTTCGCACCACCTGTTCTTGCAACCTAGCACGACAGCTTCCTTTCTCAGTACAGCGAAAATTGGACCACGAAAAAAACTCAGATTTATAAGTTAGTTCGCAATGGTGCCCGAAGACGAGGAGATCACTGAGCCTGCCGCCTTGATTAAAGACCTTATATATCATGGGAAATTGGTCGAAGCCCCCTCAAAGCTCACACCTCGCAGACGAAAACCTCACGTCGATGACAATCAATCAGTGGGGACTATTTCAACATCATACTCCAAAGCCTATTCTACCTTCTCAGCCCCTAACTTTGACTTCCACATGCATTCTCCATCGGCAACGACCCCGACCACATCCCGACATCAAAGCCCCACCCGGCTGACATCTGCACCGAATCTAGCTATGGAGCTTGGTCTTGTTGGAATTGGAGAGCATGTCAAGTCATTGCCCTCAGGCAAGTTCACCGCAAATTTGCCGATTCTTTCTCGGGATCCCCACCTGCCAGAATCTCAATTCTCCCGGGACGGAGTAAGTACTCCGACTGGTACCAACGCCGCGGATATGACACCGATCAGCTCTCCAGAGTCCGACTCTGATTCTGATATCTGTCGCTCTGATCTTGATCTAGAGAGAGCCGCCAACATTGCATTATCTCGTTGTTTTGGGGTTTGTCTCAATCGGCTCAGTCGTCCCGTTCGTGTCATTGAGGCATTCTCCAAGTTCAAAGATCAGTGCGCCGAGATTCTGCGAGAAGAGGAATCATTTTCAACTATTGACTGGGATGACGACGGCTTTTCTTGCTACGATGTCGAAGTAGGCGACGCGAGCAACGGCAGTTCAGGGTATGACGAGACCTCAAATCGAGCTCAACAGTCAGAGTCAAGGACAAAGAAGCGACCGGCCGAAGAAGAAGGTGGCGACGATGACCATGACGACATTGACCAAAATCCTGATCAAGACCAAGGGCCGACAAGAAGAGGGCGCAGTAAGAGACGACGGATTGGGTGCCGAGAGGATTACAGTTGCCCCTTCAGAAAACGCAACCCCTGCAGATTCAATGCTCGGGATTTCGATCCCTGTGCCAACAAATCCTATAAAGATATGGCGGAATTGAAGTAAGTTTTCAATGCTTTGCCATCCTCCCGCAGCTGATGCAAAACATGGAATATTATCTCCTACGCCATCATCTCTGAACTAGACCTGACTTGGCACAACATCGTAGGAGACATATCAGCGCGGAGCATGGGAATCAATCTTGCACTTACTGTGGGCAACCACGAAGGGGCGAAGACCACCCACCTGAAGATTGTCTTCACAACCGGCAGTCGAACCCCAATCCCGACCCTAAAGACCCAGAAGATGGCGTGGATAACCGCAAAGATAAAGTTCTCAGAAGCCGTACTGCCGGCTGCAAAATCCAAACCTGGCGTCAATTGTGGAATCTACTTTTTCCTGATGATGAAGAGGTACCATGCCAAAGTATGTGACACTTCCATTGTTACGTAGACTCCTGCTAAAATATTGCTATAGGTTTTGATCCTGTTATCGAACACCATGATATAGCCGTTAAGGGATGCAAGAAGTTTGTCTTGAAGACTGCCAAAGATATCATGGATTTCGTACACCAAAGTCCTAGTCTTTCAGTACAGGTCCTTCAGGAGATCATACACAAAAGGACCAAAGATCTTCTTCAAGGCTCCAAGTATGCTGACTATGAACGGTACAACATGGAGGAAAGCAGCGATTCCGTCCAGATCCCAACGCCGACGAAGGGCAAGTTTGTTGTCCCGGTGATGCACGACCAAGTCTACTCCGTATTGGATGATGGTGAGTCCCCAGTTATTATCGCCACGCCGCAACCTTCCCCACAGGGTGTAGATACAATACCCAATAGTACATCAACAGGGTCAAAGTTTTCGTCTTCAGTAAGTCCTTCCAGTGGCCTCGTGTAGTGGTGCTCATACTGATACTCATGTGAAGATCATCCGTGAACGACCGATTGCACCTAAAATGGAGCAAGGCCCTCCACCAAATGATTCTCAGAAGGTTAGTTTCTACCGAATTCCACTCCCCATTGACTAACATGTCCAGGCCTGCCTAGCACCTGGGGCGTTCTTGCAAAATGGGTCTCCCATACATGTATCCTCTGGAGACCATCAAGCCCCCAGCCTCCTGGATCTGGATGCTGGAAATATTCTCAATTGGTCAGACATGGACCTGAAGAACTTGGGAGGGTATTTTTGGGATGATTTCGTGAATATGGGAGATGTAACCGCCGAAGACCCCTGGATGTCTTGCGTGAAACCAGATCCAGGACCGAGTTTCCGGCCTTTTGGCGGTCCGGGCAATGACACCTAAAGTAGACCTAGTTGTTATTTAATCTTTTGTCTTTCAAGTAGCTAGTCGTAGTGAATTCATATTCAAGCTTTCATATTAACTTTCATAACAGGCTGTCTACCAAACCTTCCAGTTCTTCTCGTATCCCATCGGGTGCCAATGGACAGCACTTTCGCCAAGACCACGAAGTGCCCACTTTTTGCCCATTATTACCCCGCATTTAAAGGGGTACTTGACGATACGTCACTTATCCCTATGCTCTTTTACCTATTATCACCACTATTACTTACATTCTGATTGATGCTGTGGTGTCTTCTGGTGATTCTGATACCTCGATTGCTTCTAATACTTCTGTACGTAGCTGTATAGTAGTAGAGGTCTACCTAGAAGACCTTGCTGCTGCCTGTAATATAGACTGTACGCCAGAGCGCTGTGACGCGGCAACAGTCCGGCCCCGCGAACCTCCGGCTACCGAGCATGGTTATCCGGGCTCCTTCCGACCCTTTGACGTGCCGGCCCGGGCCCAGAAGGTACGGGGGCTGCCGGCCAGCCCGCCTGATCTATTCGTCCAATACGTTCCGCAGAGCCTCGTGGAGCAGTGGGCTCAGTGGACGAATGCAGCGCCGTCGTCGTCTAGGGAGGGTCCCCCAACTAGATCGGCAAGGGTGAATTCATGGCGGAATACTTCAGTAGAAGAGATTTACCTTTTCTTAGGGATCCTATTATATATTAGGATTTATAAAGAATCTAGATTATCAACCTACTGGTCAACCCAGTAGCAAACGGAGGATCCTATCCACCTATTTACGCGGTTCGTTTTTAGAAACCGATTCCAACTACTACTTCGGCGGCTGCGGATATTCAACACTACTGAATTTCAGCCCGACCAGCCCGACCAGCCTGACCAGTCCGGACAGCCCGGACAGCCCAGCCAGGGCCGGGGCCGGGGACGGGGACGGGGACGGGGACGGGGCCAGGCCCAGGCCCAAGATCAAATGCCAGATGTATACCGAAAGGTTAACCAGTGGTCAGCCCACATCCAAGAGATTAGGGATTCACTCTATACAACTAGTTCAGATCTTACAGTTAATGAGGCTATAGTCCGATTTGAAGGTCGATCTCTAGAGACAACAACGATTCCAACGAAACCTATCCTAACTGGCTATAAGATCTGGATCCTTGCCCAGTCTGGCTACTGTATACGGTGGCTATGGCACGTACATGGAAAGGGCCCATACGCATTAGTCCCCCAGGCGCAGCCCGCCCAGCCCAGCCTAACCCGGTCGGCTAGGCCAGCTGCTAGAAAGCTAGCTCTGTTAACACCAACGCAACAGGTAGTAACTACGCTTGTTTCCCTACTTCCAGCTTCAACCTACCACGTATTTCTTAATAACCTCTTCGCCTCTATACGTCTCTTCCGTACCCTACAGAATCAACAGGTTGGAGCTTCTGGTACCTGCCGGAAGGATAGTGGGATAGACGAGATCCTAGTCGCTGAGAAAGAGACTGAAGGACGGGGTATCCCCTAGGGTAAAGTATACTATATCCCTACTTTAGATGGGGAGGTAAGCTGCCAGCCTGCCCACCCCAACTGACTAGTAAGCAGGTCAACCAATTCACCTGGAAGGATAATGCCCTCGTACTCTTCCTATCAACTATCTTCTAGAATGGCCAGGAAGTTTTTCGCAGCCGCCGCCGCCCAGCTGGGGATTCCGCTGCTAAGAGAGCTTCCCGGCAAGTCTTTGGCCCGGATGTACGTAAGGACCTACTAGTTCCTAGGGCAATCGATGAATACAACCATAAGATGAATAGGGTTGATGTGAGTGACCAGATGAGGTCCTACTATCAATATAGCCACCCTATTCGACGAGGAGGCTGGCAGTCAATTGCTTGGAATTTCCTACTGGAAGTGGTAGTTGTGAATAGCTTCCTGCTACAGCTCTGGGTAGCCCTAGGTGGCAGAAGATCAAAACCTACTACTAATGGCGGCAGCTGCTTACAGCCTAGCTTATCTAGCAGTTTGGCCCATTAGCGATCGGGCGGAGACTATCACGGCCTAGACGGGCTATAGATAAAAGGAATACCTCTATTCTATGGGAATAGCATCGCAAGGGATCACGAAAGGTATCTTTACTTTGTAGCTATTGTGGTAGTAGGAAGGTTCTAAACCAGATATCTGGGAATACCCTCACTCGGCGACGACGGCAGACAACTCGAAAGGGTTGCTTAGACTGTAATGTACCGTTATGTAGTAGTAAAATTGCTGGTACCTCTGGCACACCCAAAATCTATAGGAAATATAGGTATTATAACCCCACTGGTTAGTTTAATAAATTTGCAAGCCCTTATTGGCTCTACCCCGCTCTTGGCGAAAGTGCTGTCCATTGGCACCCGATGGGATAAGCACCAACCGTACAGTCTGGTCCTGATCCTACTGGCATCTGTGCAATCTAATCACGGAGACTATTGCTCAAGCCCTAAAAAGACTCAGAACTTGCCTATGGCGGAATGGCGGACAGCAAATATTGCACGAAAGCTCCGTCAACCAGTCATGTCGTCGAGCCTCAAAGAGGTGGGCAATTCTTGTCTGTGCCCATAGTGTCGAGAGAACAGAATCAACGTCGAGGGATTGAAAGTTTTGATACCGGAAGTATTTGCTGCTCCTAGGAAACAGATGATCAGTGCCAACCAAAAGTCCAAGAGCCTGTCAAATGTCGCGATCGTGCCCCGTCAGGTAGCTGTCAAAGTACGCAACTATTCATGCATCGGCAGCACGAGGATGAAAGCACAGCCACAATTACCGACACCAAGACCTGCGAAACGGCAAGAATACGCTGACAGTCATACAAGATGCAACGGGCAAGCTTTCAAAAGCATTAAATATGCGACGCAAATTCAGCCTTGACAGTGGGGTCATCCCTGAACTCTTCATGCACCCTTACTTATCCCACGTAAAGCTCGGTCGAAAGGCAAAAGTTGGCGAATGCTAAAAGCTTCCCTCCTGACCATAGGGCTGATGGTGGTTGGGGAACAACCCTGCTGATACGTAACGGCCCGGCCCCGAGCTCATTGGGCTTTTCCTCGTTGGGTTCAATGTTCAGTCTCAGCTGCGTTGCAGCTGACTTACACTTTTTGCCTTTCTGTTGGTTTACTCTGTAGAATTTTGCGCTAGGTTCGTCGTTAGGTTGCATTGTACGCCCGTTAGCCCGGGTTTCTAGACCCTTTGGTGTAAGGCATCGTAGAGTAACTGGTGCAAGTGAGAGAGTGGCTATGGTGATCATCACACATCAATACCACATCGTTTATTCTTGCGCAAGAAACGTCACGAGGTTAGTTCTATTGGCGATTTCTACGCTCAAGGCCAGTGCTATACGTCAAGGACTCTAGAAGACGTTAGGGAGATGAGGAGGATTACGTTATACCATGGAAACGCTCCTGCTGAACATGGCCTTCGTATCCTATGAGGCCCTGTTGATTATCCCAAACCAGGTGTTATGACGACGGGTAGAGCTTGCTATAGCTACAACAAAAATGTGATTTACTATTGGGACAGTCGGAATCTACATGGAGCCTGAAATGAGCTGCCCTTAAATCACGAATGCTTGTATTAAGCCGCGCGAAATTGAAATCAGACTTTGAATTAGATAAGAATAATTGAGATGCTACGAGTTCCAATCTCGCATTACCATGGGAGACTCGCTACGGTGGGTCTGTCGTTCACGAAGTACTCCAGAGCGAATACGAAATTGTTCGATTCGATTACACGATCCTCCTCTTTCTCGGGATATTTTCTTAATCCGCGTACCGCCACATCACACCGTCTCCCTACCCCCGATTTCCTTTCACGTCTCATAGTGACAATTTCTTTCACCATCCACGTCTCCCGTATTCACCAGAACCCGTATTTCCTGCCGCGATACCCAGCACGGCCGTCGTACTGATCCCATTCCTCTATGCCGAGAAGGTCGCAATAGCGCCATCCAAAGCCTCCGTAAGTGCACCGGTACTCTGCTGGGCAATCGGGCGGGCGAGGGCGGGGACTTTGCTGAGGAGGGTGTCACCGAGCGCGCCACTGCCAGACTTTTGTTGCATCAGAGCATCCTTGACGACGGAGGTGACGCCGAGCTGGTCGAACACGGGCTTCTTCTGAGAGAGATCGCCGAGGGTAGTCTGGACCTGTGTAACGAGGCCGTCGGCAGTCTGCTGAAGACCAAGCGCGCCAAAGACACCAATGTTGTCGGCGCCGTCGATCATGGATGTAGCCATGACGAGAGCATCTTGAGCCCCTTGAGCTGCGGTGAGGACCGGAGCCACAGAGTTGGCGTCGCTCGCGGAAATTCCCTTGACGGCGGTGTCGAGCTTTTCGAGGGAGCCCTGGACCATGCCGAGAGCGGTGGTGATGGTATCCTTTTGGCGAGCAACAAGAAGAGGAGCAGCGGTGATCGCCCACGCCTGGAGGGCGACGAGAAGAACCTGGAAGCCGAGCATTTTCGAAGAGTAGAAGTTATTAAGATAGTACTAGAGCGGACGTTGGTGGAATACAGGATTCGGAGATCGTTGGTAGGTAGAGATGAGCTTAAATAGTGGAGAGAACGACAACGACTTCCAAACCAAACTCGGAAATGGTGTGCGGCTCTTAGTTTGATTTTATCAACATCTGGGGTAGTGTAGCCAAGGCCTATTCAGCGCTTGTTTTCTCCCATCACTTTCCATTTCGGGACACACTGGGGGGCGGAGAGGCTTTCCTGTGTTGAATGTGTGTGGTCTACAACTACTTTTCTCTTCCAGCCTTCCTCTTTGGGTTATGAGACGCAAAGGAGGTTCTTGGTGGTTCACCCTGACCGCATGGGGGTCCTAAAATGGTACTTGCTTGGGACGGCTTGACACGCTTACGTCCATGTAGCGGTAGCCACAAACCGGCTCCGGGCGCCTACCAACCGCCACTGTCTAGGAGGGAGGGAAGCGTTATAACTCATCCGAGTTGTGGATTGCTACTGATGCGTGGGATGACATCTCGATCTCGAGGGATCAACCCTGGCATCAAGGGTGGAGGTTGAGTGGGCTCGCTGAGCCGCCGTTGGCCCTACATCTGGCTTCTAGGAAACTATCGCGATAAGCTCATGAACGGGGTACTTAGTGAACTGCGGGGGTAGCCAATGAACTCGAGCCTCTCGGAACTTTCCTAGCTTTCTCCCCCATGGGTAATGTCTGTTCTTTCAAAGGGGAAGCACAGGCACGACGTTGATCAGGCCTAGGGACGCCGTTGGAGCCAGTATGGTTTTAGTATCAAAGCTGAAACGCTTTATCGCGCGGACCGGCCGTTGTTCAGTTGAAACAACCAACAGAGTTGTGTTAGTGATGCGCCAATCGCAATTCACCAAAGCGCCCATTTAGCCAGTCATTCAGTAGTCATGTCAACTAAACGCCAGCAAACTGCCAAACTGCCAGAAAACCTGACCGGATGGTCCCTCGGCAAGGCTCCACGATGATGACGCTCGTGATTGTCGGCTGCGCCTGTCAAAAATTGGGAAAGGGGTGGTGTCTCCCGCCAAGCTGCCGGTTGCCGGTTTGGAACTTTCAGCCCTGCCCATTCGCACTCGCTTAATTGCCTTGACAAGCTGGCAGCCCAGAAACAGGTGGTCTTGATGGGTCGACTCACCTGATATGTTCAAACGGCCTGCCGGCCTGGGAAGTGAGCATCTCAACGGCTCTGCTCCAGACATCCCATCTATTACCTCATTAGGGTAGGCTCTGTATGTACGCTTGGATCGGGCAGCCTTCCCGTCCCATCAGGCAAGGGAGGCCGGCAATTATTTTACGCCCTACGATGGGTCATAGGCGGCATAGGAGATCAACCGGCACGGGTATCGAAAAAGCTTAATGTCGGCGAACGGTTTGTAGATCAGGAGGCCTTGCAGCCTGCAGAGCCGCACGCACGCCTAGACGGGTACTCTCATGCTAGAATGTGTGAGGAAGCCTGCAGAGACGGCGCCACTTATGCAGGCTTCACCTTAGCCGTCGCAGCCATGCACGCAATGTGGAAATATCGATGGCGTTTCCCCCCGGATGTTCGTCTTCCACGACTATGGTCATATTAGACGGCCTTCCCCACACGATTTAGATGACCTGTAGGGCCAAACGAACGGCTCGGATTCGGATGGCTGACAAGGTCCATTCTATTTGAACATCCCAGTAGTTGATATGATCGGAAGTCATACTCCGTACTCAACTTGCCAAACTTCACTTGTAAGAATGGTGATTGAGAGTGCTGGGAATTGGGAACTGATCCAATTGCCAAGTGCTCTGACAACCAGCCAATTAGTGACACGGTGAAAGGGTCTGATTATGACAAGCCTTCGGAACAGACTCCCGAAGCCACCTAAAAGCACGTTTTTGTCTCCAACGCCAATTCGTTCGGGAGATTTCAGTTGAGCTTGACTCAGAGGAGTACCAACAAGTGTAAGTTAAACAGGTGGCTAAGTAACATATTGGGTCTGAGGACTACCGCTCAATGAGGCCGCTTGGTTCTGACGGTTCACAGCCGGGTCATTCTTTGGAAGAATCTATCTCTCCTTGAGAAAGGCTATGAATCGGCCCGATGGGAAGTGGTGGTTTGATTCCATGGAAGTAAGTAATCACGGCCAGTCTCGGGAGCTTTATAAAACGAGTGCAGTATGTCCTGAAAAGGAAATTGTATCCAAACTGCCCATCATCAAAGTGTAACATCCAGTCCTATGTGGCGCCGCCGCCCAGACCTCAGACCTTCCCCATTCCGGTGACGCGAGATTATTGACGTTATCTGCCCAGCGAGTCGTGTCAACTGAACCAAAAACCCTGGAGCTTTCCGAGCTCGACCTTTCCGATCTTGCAACCGTTCTGACAGGTCGGTACCGAACGGCTCTCGGACGTTCCGAAAACCCAGCTTGGCCTTGCCCCAAGTTCTTGGATGGTGCTTTCTTCTTATCATCTTACCTTTGTGATCTTGTTTCTCTGTCAAAGACTTACCAGGGCCACGATGAAGGATCAGAGGGAACCGAAATCGAGCTGATTGCATCCAGTCACCCTCACAAGACTGGCGAGTCAACTCCTGACAAGCGGCTCTGGGGTCTGAATCATCGCATTCGCACAGCAGCTGAGCCGAAATACCTGGACCCGAAACAGGGTCCCTGATAGGGTGTTTCTGCCGCTACAGAGAGGCACGGAAGTGTCCCAGGAGATTCTTCTGCGCGCCATCTGACACAGCCTCCGAGTCGTGTTGTCTGACGTGTGGAGGTTGATGAGCTGGTGAACTGCACGACCAATCAAACAAGCTCTGTCGGAGCCAGGACCTGACTTACACGTAGGTCTCAACTGGTCAAGGCCCCACCGGTCGGGAACTGGGCAGAATTATTCTCGACCCCAGTTCTGGACCTTCAGACACAAATGTTGACGGGTGATGAAATTGAATGGATGACGGGAGTTTCTCCCCGGAAGTTCAAAGGAAGAAGTGCTCTGCAACAAGGGGCAACTTTGTCGACTAGTTCCAACTTTGGGGCATGCATGGATGTGGACGGGGCGTAAGAATCAAGTGGCTGCCAGTCGCAACACAACTTGACAGAAAACGGCGCACTAACAGCCCGTCTTCCGGGCCCATACCATGTCCTTAAGCGCAATCGGGTAGCAAGCCTAAGTAAAGTTGATTTGGCCCATCATAGTGGGCGAACAGCCCCGTCAGCCTGTCAGGAGGTGTACTATTAGTTGCTACTCTCGGCCTGGGTATCGGGCTGACGTTCCACATCTTGGACATTAGTCAAGGCAACACCGACTTGCTTCCTATGCCGATAGCTTTGGAATATTTTCTTTTGTTCGGAAGACAAATTGAAAACACATGTATTGCAGAGATGCATCACGGGTTCATACATGTGAGCTTAGCTGGAAACAGTACGAAGTTGGTCCTTGTTAGTTGAAGTCTCTACCTGTTGCGATTTGAGGAAATAAAGACACAAAGCTGGAAACTGGAGTAGAGGACTTTTGAGTTCCGACCACGCACGCCAGCATGCGAACTCAGTGAACTCTATCCTCGAGGGTGATCAACATAGTTGAGGTTAGTAAGGGATTTCAAGACTCTGAGTTTTCCGAATAGTCTTCCCGCGTGTTTGATCCAAAGTAGGCTTTTCTTTTGAAGCTCGATCCAATCAACTCGTACCTACACTCTCTCATTCCAGAACTTTGTTCTTATTCCCCACAAATGCAATCATCTAAAAGCTTCAGCTGTGCCAGCTCCTGGACCCTAGTCTGACGTTCACCCTCTAACCCATGAGTTTTTGTTTATGTTGGTATTCCTATCACAGGGATGTTGGTTCGAACCGTAGGGTCCTGGGGGTGACGAAGTATCCATATCTCTGTATTGATTGATTCTGTGTAAGGAGTAGAAGGGAGATTCCAACCGGAGGTTGGGTGGGTAGTCGAGGTTTAAGTGTACCCCCTCAAGGTGGCCCATGCTCTGCCCCTACTCGCGGCCGAATTTGACTTCCAATCCGACAGTTTACTTCCTAAATAATCCAAGAAAACTCTTTCCTTTATGTTGTTTACTTGCAACCATCGTGAAGTTCTCTTTCCACCGTCGGCCCACTATCAACGCCTTCGCCGACGGTACCCGGCAGGCAACTCTTTCACATCACATCACAACCCCGCACAGCACCGCACACTAATTACTCTCCACTAACTGTTGCACAGAGACCCATTCTGTTATCCGAATGCATCCATATTCCCTCATCCGGCTCAGACTTCCATCAATCATCGGGCGCTTGGTCTAGGGGTATGATTTTCGCTTCGCATCTACATCTGAGCTTCCTGTGAGCTTCAGATGCGCATTCTGTGAAAGGTCGTGGGTTCAATTCCCACAGTGTCCAATTGTTTTGCCTGACTTGACGATGAGGCACTTCTTTTGCTGCTTACATGAGTTCTGGCGGGGAATTGAAGCATCCTTGTGTGGGTGGCACTTGCTTGATTTGAGTGGGTGTCATGATAGATAGTACCTACCTAGCATGCAACTAGGCAAGAATCGAGCCGCATCATCACTCGGATTCCCGGCGCCATTTTGGCATCATCAATTCCTTCAGCGTAAGGTTGTGGAAAGAATCTGACTATGATCCTCAGTTGCTCAGATTTCGTACAAGTAGGGAGACGATGGCCGTGTTGATCAACTAACAGCTATGGATTCTAGGGTAATTCATCATGTTCTCTTGGCATCCTTCCTCCATCTTCCATAGAACACCTATGATAGATAGCCTGCTGCCTATTTGCCTATGTTGGCTACTGGATATTGGGTGAGGGCATTCCCGACGTGCTCAGATCGTCCACGCACATGTGGGGAATGTAGTCTTCAGAACAGGTGCTTCGCCGTTGCTTCTTGTCTTTCGTAGGCTTCGATATCACCATAGCCTGGTAGACGGCGTCGGGCTCGGGCTCTGAAAGGCATTCCACGCTGGGACCACTAGCTCCCGCAGCCGGCCGGCTTGCACCAAGTTCTCCGCCAGTCTTTCCGGTAACCTCATCGTCAACTTCGGATGGTGCTGGCGCGCGAGTTGCACGGCCATTACTTGCTGGACTCTGGAATACAGAACTGATCTTTCGTGTGATTTGCTGCATGAAACCTGGCTCCGTTTTGCGACTCTCTTGTACTAGAGGATCTGCGAAATGGGCAGACCGCCGCCTGCCATTCTTGGGCAATGGGTCTGATGCCTTCGTCTCAGGGCGTGCGTGCAGGTCTAGTAGAGCCTCAGAGCCTCGGCGAGAGGGCTTGGTTTTGGTAGTCGCAGAATCATCCGACGTGGGAACTACACCATGAATCGTACCATGGTCAGAATCTCTCTTGGCTATTTGTTCGCTGATGGGTGCGATGCTGCCAAGTCTAGCGTCAATTCCCAAATGATACATGTTGACCTTGTCTTTGTCTTCATGTTCCAAAGTGACGAGGCTGGCAGGGGTGCTCAGCCATTCATCCGTGCAGTGTCGCTGTGGCAGGCTAGGGAAAGAAGTAATCGAGGAAGCCCCATCATCGACGCTGGATTCTTTGACGTTTTCCTTTTGACGATTAGACTCGTTTACAAATTGAGAACCGAGCGAGAAGTTGCGGAAGTCAGGGGCTTCTGATGCAGCATCGGAATCAGAAGTCCGACTGAGTCCCTCGATGATGCTAGACACATTGAACATGGAAGAGTTAGTCTGGGACGCGGCAGATACCGGCGGTTCGGGCTCATTAGAATCCGGCCTTTGATCAACTTGATCTGCCTGTTGGTCAGCGAGCCATCGTATATCGGTAATACTGTCGCGTGAGACAATCGTGGTGATAGGCGGAGGCCGAGCTACACTTCTCGACCGTACTTGACCATCAGTGGCGCTTCGGGTGAAGAATGAGGCCTCGGGCTCGCTGATGGTGGTCGCTGGATCAGCTGCCCGAGCAGGCTGTAGCTCAATGGCAGTTTTGAGGCAGCTCGGCTTCCTGGCCAGTCTTGTTTGGACCAGAGCGTCAGTCGCTTGCTGGTTGTGGACAGCATCCTCCATGGTGGTATTGTGCTTGCACATTTCCTTGAAAACAATCTCCACAACGTCTTGTACTTGATCATCGGTGAGTACATATTGGCAAGAGGCTTGATTGCATGTCGTTTCTTCCTCGGGGCCGTTTGAAGAGATATCCTGCGTCCTTCTTTGACCGGCAAGACGATTCCGTACCTTTCCCATGATTTGCTGCATCAAGACATTGGGCTTTCCCCAAATGCTGTAACCAGACCGTCTTGGGGTGTCGGAAAGATGCTCGGACCGGGATGAGTGTCGGCTATGACGAACATAGACGGAGCTGTGGCTGCCTGAAAGGTCGCGTCGGCCTCGCATCGGTCTTGTCGTGGTGCCCTGTGGAATCTTGGCGGTCCCAGCCCGACCTAGATCATGGTTAAAGCTCCTTGATGGCAAGTCCTGGCTCTCGCCGGCAAGACATTTATTTCCTATGATAACGTTGATTAGGAACAACTCGACAAGGTTTCTCAACAAAGCATGCCTTGACCTAAGATACCTGACAGATTCCCTTTGGTGATGGCCTCTGCAGCGGCCGGGGGTAGACAGTGATTGTGGGCCTGAGCTCTAGTCTGGTCTATGCTCATGCATCTTGATGGCCGCCGGAATACGGGGCTGGCTTGAGGAGCCCATGTCATGGTTTCGACGTCTCCATCGCTGAGCAAGCTACAGTCTAGGATAGTGGGCGGGCCCGGGGGCACGATGGATGGACGTCGGCCTAGATCGGGGTTCCTCTGTGTGGTGGTCGGGTAGATGACGGTGCCATTGTGGCACGAGGGAACGAAGACGCCGGGTAGCTGAGTTATAGCCGGAGGTCGATTGACGGATAGGCTGTGTTCTCGGGTAGACGGCGCGGTGCGGAACTCCTCATCGTCAAAGTCTGAATGTCCGTCCATTTTAGAATCGGTGGAAGGCTGGCAAGAAGATGAAGTAAAGTTACACAACAAGCATACGATAGTACGGAGGATCAATAAGAAAAAATAGGCAAGTGGCTGCCTCTAGAGGGCATCAAATCAACGCCGCGGGCTGTCATCGATTTACAGGCGGGTGTTGTTTGCTAGGATTGTAGTCGTGGATGATGTTGCGGAGATGTTAATGAGGGCGTGTTGAGAGACGAAGATGGTACAAGAAGGCCAAGATAGGTGCTCGGCAAAGGTTGGAGGAAAGAGCGGCTCATGGCGACTTCCTCGTTCAGACAAAATATCCCTGGCGGCAAGTTGGAAGGAGCTACACGAGTGTCACCGTGACCCCCGCTGCCCGTAGGGCATTGCAGGGCTTCTTGGCATCTCATTCTCAAAGATTCAGGACGCAGGTAGAGTATTTATTCCTTTGAATGAGCATCAGTGAAAGCCTAATGCAAGTTGACTATAAAATCTAAAAAAGAGTTCACCACCGGTGTGGCTACATCTCTTGGTGCTCATGCTGGGATTCGAACTCGGGTATTCGCTAAGCCTGTCGTCGAGTAGGCTGGTTGGAGATTTGTTTGTTGACCATTAACCACTTCACCACCCAGCCAGTTTGACCTGACCCTCGACCTAGAGGGCGCCTGCTGGCTGGTGATCGGAATGGGCTTGGAGGCACCTATATACCTTGCTTGGTGAGTCGGCGGTGAACACATCACGAGCATGGAAATGGGAATGAGATGAGATGAGATGAACAGGAGTGAGATGACATAAACATGTAGAAGTGGGGTCACAGTCGAAAATAATCTGGACCAATTGAAATCCCTGCGCAACACAAAGGGTTTTCGAGGGGATCGGCAAAATCCTCTAGCAAAGGAGCTTACTTTTTTTTTTTAGTCTGTCAAGCTCTCCCGCTGCCATTCATTCTTTTTGACGGGCAACGACGCTCCATCAGCATCAAAAGTCTGCTCCTTTACTCCTCCCTCTCCCTACGGTACGGTAATATCTAATGATGCTCCCGAGTGCTGCTCCGACTGCTTCTGATCCCGCTGGGCCTTCCAACACCAGCAGCGCCTACACGAGGTTGCACATCGCTCCTTTCGACCAGGACCTTTTGAAAGTCGTTATCCCGGCTGCAATCCTGCCAAACGCCCGGAACATTTCCTTCCACACAATCGAAACCTTCCCCGAAAAGCGCTACGGCTTCGTCGACGTCCCCGAGGCCGACGCTGACAAGATCAAGAAGAGGTTGAACGGCGCTGTGCTGAAGGGCTCCAAGATGCGCATCGATAAGGCCCGCCCCGCCGAGGACTACATGCCCGTGGCCGAGAGTGAAGAGACGGGCAAGAAGCGAAAGAAGTCGTCCAAGGAAAAGGAGGAGAGAAAAAGGCAGAAGCGCGACGAGAATGTTCTCGAGGGCGTCGAGCTTCGCGATCGCAAGGTCAAGCGGGGTTGGACCGTTCCCGAGGAGGCCAAGATAAGGGAGAAGAAGAGCAAAAAGGAAAAGGGAGAGAAGAAGGACAAGAAGGACAAGACAAAGAAGCGGGAGGAGCGCTCAAAGTACACCGACAGGGAGGAGTGTCTGCTCAAGACGAAGCTGCCTTCCAAGCAGCTCCCGGCGGCTGCCGACCCCGAGGATGAAGGCGATCGCAAGAAACGCAGGAAGAAGGCCAAGGAGGTGGTCATCCACGAGTTTGAGAAGACGACAAAGTTCCCTACGTTCCTCAAGGCCGCCAAGCCTGCGCCGACCGAGAACCTCACCACCGAGTTTGTCGAAGGGAAAGGATGGGTTGACACCCAAGGGAACGTAATCGAATCGGCCAAGACTAGAAGAACGGCCACGGCACCCGTCCCCGAATCCAAGGCACCCAAGCCACCGAAAAAGACCAAGGCTCCCACGCCGCCGCCTGTGGACGACGATACTACGAGCAGCAGCGGCAGCTCGTCCGACGATGATACTTCTTCGGACGAGAACTCAGATGAGGAGGCAGAGCCGGCCAAGGTCACGGAAAAGGTCAAGGCCACGGCAAGTGTCAAGGCGGCACCGGTGACACCTGCAAAGCAAACGCCAAAGGCACAGGCTGCAGATGATGAAGACACTAGCAGCGATTCATCATCATCGTCCGATGACGATAGCTCTGATTCCGATGAGGAAGTAGTAGTCGAAACTACAAAGACTTCTGTCCCTGCCAACTTCGACAGTCCGCTGTCCGCAATCAAAGCCGCCGATGCATCGCGGCCCAGATCCGCCGCTTCCAACGCCAGTCTCACTATCAAGATACCGCCATCGACTCCGGCTCAAGTCCACCCCTTGGAGGCTCTCTACAAGCGGCCTAAGCAAGACGGCAACGAAGCTGCCGAGCCCGCCAAAGAAGCCGAGCCCTTCAGCTTCTTCGGGGGTGGCGGTGACGATATCGAGGAAGACCAAGACGTCGCAGCGACCAGCCAAATGCCCATGACCCCATTCACCGCACAAGACGTCGAGTGGCGCAACGTTAGAAGCGCTGCACCCACGCCTGACACAGCGCACCCGAACCACACGAAGCCGTTCTGGGCCATTGGCCACGAAGGCGACGAGGAAGAGGAGGATGACGAAGAGACCCGGGAGGAAATCGAGGCGACGTTAAACGCGGAGCGGAACGCCGACCCGGAGGGCAACAGCGGCCCCGGAGGCGACTTCCAGAAGTGGTTCTGGGAGAACCGCAGAGACCTCAACCAGTCGTGGATGAAGCGCCGGAAATCGGCTGCCAAGGAGAGGCGGCATCGCGACAACAAGTCGCGCGCTTCCAAGGCTGTATAGAGAGCATTATTGGGAGGGCAAATACACTGCGCAGCATCTATAGAATCACAACGTCTTGATCTTTCCTTCACTGGCCGCCACTTACAGCTGATATGTCCATCATTCGTTAACTGGGAACCGGGCGCGGATAGGTCAACCCAGACAAATAAAACAACGGCCATCCCTTTCAACAGCGATATCTCGCCTTGCCGCAGCAAACAGAGCACGAAATCTGCTCTTTATGTGTTATCATCCGGCCACATTCGGCTCCTGCCCCTCCCCTTGCTCGCAGTTGGGGTAAGATAGGTAAGATAAGACAACCCCGGCTTCCCCCGCCTCCCGTTGGGAGAGATTCAGGGATTCTGGGAATAGCAGGGAAGGGATATCATAAAGCTCCGTCCGACTACATGTAAACATCTTGGCACCCGGAAAAGATCCGTGAGTTGACCAAGCCGTCTGGATCTCTTGGCCTCTTGATAACTCTCCTTCCAGCGAGGCACAGGGACGCATTATATCAACTAAAGTTCAAGATCCGGTCTTCGGACAATTCGCCGGCAAGGGGGAACATCAACGTCGGCCTTGGCCCCGCCTTGTCCCTCTCCCGCCTTATCATCCCGCATCTCAAGTTCTTGACAACCCCTGCCGCCTATCAACATCCCTCTCCCGGCCGTCCGCTCGTCGGCAAAGATGCGATGCGGATTCACGGCGCCCTCGATGGAACGTCAAGAACACCATTCCGGTCTTGTCTCGCTCTCCCCCCTCCAGCGTCGAGTATCATTACCCGACGCGACGGTACTGTTTTCGCCTCCAACCTCTTCGCCGTTGGAGATGTCTCTCCCCTCATTGGTGTCTTATCTCTGCTCCCCAGATGTCGTTAGTCAAACGTCCAGTCTCTTCCGCTGAGATGTCAAAGATGCAATTGGGCAAAGTCGCACACATCTTGAAGACCCACGCTGCCCATCGTCCGATGCAGAATCACAGGGCCCTCGTGCATCAACCACCGAGCCACTTTCCGTGTTGGTTGCCGTATTACGGTAGTTCCCACCAGGATTAGCGACGCGGTCGGCTATTTTGCGCTCAATGGAAGCGATCGACCCTCCAGATCTCTGTCTCCCTACTTCGCCCTGCCCTCTCCGCGGGAATCCTTATCTTGACTCTTCAACTGGTGGTGGTCGAGGAGGGGGGTTACGTTGCACTTCGGCAGTCGATATTGACAGCCGATATCCGTATCTGCACACACGCAATAGCACAGTAGCATTGATGCTCATATAACATCCCTCCAGACGGCCAGCAAGCTATGGCCAGTTCCCTTGGTGGTAGTAGGCAAGCCAATGTGAAAGAAGCCTTGATCCTCTCGTTGAGATCCCGTCGTGAACTCTAACCTTCCCTCCTCCTCCCCCGCCCCAAGGTTCCCTCCGTGAGCCGTCGCAAACATGACCTCTCAAGACATTGAGGCTCCCGCCGTGGATGAGAAGAAGATCGCCATCGTCTCGGACAAGGACCAATCCGACACCACCAGCGAGCGAAATGGCGAGACCGACCTTGGTAAGATCACGCCTTTCTATCCCTCATGCGACGGAACCAGATCCCGCTACCTCGAGAAGCGATTCATGCTAACGATACTCAACACAGTCGCCGTGGAAGGCCAGTACACAAAGGAGGAATACCACAAGCTCAGGAGAAAGGTCGACAAGTACCTCCTCCCCCTCATGTGGATATGCTACGGCATCCAGCAAACCGACAAGACGGCGCTCGGCACCCAAGCCATCTTCGGTCTCCGTCAAGATACAGGACTCAAGGGCCAGGAGTACAGCTGGCTCACAACAATCTTCTGTACGTCCCACCCCTACGTCTTCCCCGTGACATCCTCCCTAGCTGCCATCATGTCTCCTAAACGGAAACCACGGCTAACAGAATGATCATCAAGACATCACATACATGTGCTTCGAATTCCCAAGTAACATCGTCCTCCAGCGCTACAAGATGGGCCGCACCCTCTCCGTCTACATGATCTGCTGGGGCATTATCGTGCTCTGCATCGGCTTCGCCCAGAACTTTACGCACCTCATCGTCCTTCGCGCGCTGCAAGGCGCCTTCGAGTGCTGTATCTCGCCCGGCTTCATGTTGTTGGTCGGCACGTGGTACAAGACGCGCGAGCACGCTTCGCGGTCCCTTGTCTTCCAGAGCGCGAATGCCGGGTTTGGAGTGATTGCCTCGCTCATCATGTATGCTATCGGCGTGTCGACGCAGCATAAGGAGGGGGCTCAGCCGTGGCGGTATATCTCTTTCGTAAGTTTGTTCGAGGACTGCTAACTCGCCAATGGCGGTTGTGGATCATGTTGCTAATGAGCATCGTAGTTCTTGGGTAGCTTGACGACTGCCATCGGATGCCTCTGCCTCTTCCTCCTGGGCACGCCGTCCGAGGTCCGGTGGTTGACGCAAGCCGAAAAGGATATGGCAAGCGCGCGTATCATCTCCAACAATACCGGCCACGACCGCACTGCCATCAAGGGGTGGAAGTGGAAACAGGTCGGCGAATGCTGCCGCGACCCCATCTTCTGGTTTGCCGGCATCAACGCCTTCCTCACCTCCGTCCCCAATGGCGGTCTCACAACCTTTGGCAGCATTATTATAACTTCCTTTGGCTTCAGTATGAATCCCCATCAACCATCCTCTTTCAACCTTCTCCGTCGCATGAAAAGCCATACTAACATACCTCCTTCTCTCCCAGACAACCTCCAAACCATCCTCATCGACATTCCCCGCTCCGTCATGTCCGTCATAATCTTCATCTGCGTCGGCCTCCTCACCAGCAAAAAAGCCGACCTCCGCCTCTGGATCATGGCCACCTCCGTGCTGCCCCCTTTCGCAGGCTTCCTCGGCATGTCCCTCCTCCCCAACGACCCAGCAATCAAGTGGACCAAATGGGGCTGCTACTTCATCACCGTGCCCTTTGTCCTCGGCCTCTTCCTCGCCTGGACCCTGATCCCGAGTAACATTGCCGGCCGCACCAAGCGCACCATGACGTCCAGCTTCACCTTTGTCGGGTACTGTGTGGGCAACATGGTTGGAAGTCAGATCTTCAAGGCGGCGGATGCGCCGAAGTACACACCGGGCACGATTGGCTGCGCCATTTGCTTTGGGATTCAGTTTATGCTTATTCTGACGTGGCGGCTTGTGTTGGTGAGGAGGAATAGGCAGAGAGATGCTGCTATGGCTGTTGATGGGTTGACTGTGGAAGAGAGGGCGAAGAGGGGCAAGGAGCTTGGGGAGCAGGATTATACTGATTTCGAGAACCCTTATGTGAGTATTCCTAGTCTTGTTCACTCTCACTTCTTGGCTAACATGAAAATGGCAGTTCCGTTACACACTCTAAGTCTTCTTCGACTGGATTACAGTTCAATGGTAGTTGGCATAGAGACGATAATAAAGCGATATGTTGAGAGGAAGTAGAGTCCCGGTAACGAAGGGTATAGTACGAATTCCACCACAGAATACCAAAGAAGACATGATAGACGTTCACCATCATTACATCCTTGCAAAGTCGTCTCCCGAGTGATGTCTAGAAAAAACTTCCTGCCACACTTCTGAAACCACCGTCTGTCCACAATCGCAAACACCAACCCAGCATTCAGCTACCCATCACAGTTCCCCTCCACAAACAATAACCTACTCATCATGAGGCACTCCCTCCGAATTCTCATCATGATACAAATCAGGACACCTCGCCCCCTTCTTCTGGAAAACCCACCTCTTAATCCACCAAGGCAACACAGTCTTGAGCTGATACGAAGCATGCGTCCGCTCCGGCACGCTAAACACATAATCAAGCTCCTCGAGTGACTTTTGCTTCGTCTCGGGAACGAACAGGAAAATGAGCGCGAGGGCGACGAGGTTCAGGCCCGCGTAGAAGCAGAACACGCCGGTGGACGTCATGGCGATGAGCATGCGCGGCAAGGTGAGGGAGAGCACGGACGCCCAGAAGTTGTTGGTCGCCACGGCCCAGGACATGCCGATTTCGCGGTGGGAGAGGGGGAAGACTTCGGCGGAGTACATGAAGGGGACGGGGCCCTCGCCTAGGGGGAATTGTCAGCCAAAGAAGCTTGGTGATGGTGAGACTTGAGGTCACATACCTGGGGAGTAGAAGGCGGCGAAGAGGTAGACGAATGTTGCTACTGCGGCGATTCTGGCGGTGCTATCATTGATGAGGTAGCAGAGTCCAGCGGCTGTGATACCATATTAGCATTCCCACGCAACGTGTTGTTAGCATGAAGGTCTGACGTACTGAGCAGAGTCCAGAACATGTTCGGGAAAGTGAACAGCAGAAGAGTTCTTCGACCAAACGTATCAATCGTCCACACAGCAGGCCAGGCGAAGGTAAAGTTGATCAAGCCGAATCCAAAACTAGCCCAGAGAGCTGTGTAGTCGCTGATACCGCTCTGCTTGAAGATGGTCGCGCTGTAGAACGAGATGATGTTGACTGAAACAGCATGTTAGTCCCCCATGTCTTGTGAAAGAAGGCTGTCTACGGATGGCACTTACTTCCACACATCTGCTGCGCAATCATGACAATACCAGAAGCCCATGTCGCCCGCCTGATCCGAGCAATCGTGAACAACTCAACAAAGCGTGTAAACATGTTGCTCGTGACCTTGAGTCCGGCCTCTTTGACCATGGTCTCCTCATACTCCAAGAGCGAATGGATGTAGTACAGATCCCGAGCAGCCTGGAGCTCCGTATTGCGCAGGCGCTTAAGCGAACCCCACGCCTTGAGATGTCTGCCCTTCTTGAGATACCATCGAGGAGACTCGGGGCAGAAGTAGGTTCCGATGACGAGCGGAACGGCTGGGATAAAGGCAGATCCGAATTGGAGGCGCCAAGCGATCTCACCCGTCTTACCGACAATGAGGTTGGCGCATGTGCCAAGGAAGATACCTTGCGAGAATTAGCGTTTCTGCAACGGTGGCACGCCAAGAAAACACCAAGAAATTCTGTCTCTGGCCGATCTCTTGGTGTTTCTTGGGAGGAAGTGAGAGGCTCACCGAACGCAGTCCAGACCTGCCAAGACATTACCAAGCCGCCACGGATAAGAGTGGGGGAGTTCTCGGCGGAGAAGACGGGGACCGTGACTTCTTTCAAGCCCATGCCGATGCCTAGCAACATTCTGTGCAAGATGCTGTCAGTATCACGATGCCACGGTTGTGGTTGTGTTGGGGTGTCTTCCTTACCTACACGCCAAGAGCTGTCCCCAAGTCTGCGACAACGCCATACCAAAGGGCGCAAGCAGAGAAAAGATGGCCGCGATGAAGATTACACCGCGACGACCGAGAAGGTCATTGAGAGGATCGGAAATCCAGCCAGCGCTGTTCGCCATCAATCAGTATGTCTCCCCTTGAATGAGCAACCCAACGAGGGCACTAGAAGTAAGCTACTCACAATAGACAAATCGTGATGTAGGGCATGGAATTTACAAGGCCGATAATCCAACTATTCTTCGCGCAATCACCCTCGCTGGCGACTGGCCCGCAGGCCGAACCCGCCGTGTCAGGGATGCCGAGCGCAGTGGGAAACGACAAATTGGCGCCATTGGACCCGGTCTGGTGCAGCGCCGTTAGCAAAACTAAGCTCCCGGGAGATCATGCGGAATTTGCGGGGAAGCCGAGCGGGAAAAGGTGGACAATAAGAGGGGAAGACGAAGGACATGGCATGGTGAGGGGGGAAGGATTCCCGAAGGAAGTGTCCGCTTACCTGATCCCATCCTTGAATAGCCGCCGCAATAGAGTTGAGAATGATAGTGTAATACAGAGCCCAAGGGTGCTTCCACCGATGCGTCACCTCCTGGCGCAGCGCGTCCCTCTCCGCTTCGTCGAGCTCGTCGATGGACTCGAAGAGCGCCGGGTTCTGCGCTACGAGGGCGCCCTTTTTTAGGAGCGGTAGGATGTCTTCGGGTAGGCCGTGAGCTTGCTGGTAGGTTGTCACCTGCTCGAGGAGCTGTGCTTTGGGGATGCCCTTGAGGGGGTTCTTGATCTCGCCCTCGAGATTCTGGGTGAGTTCTGCGATTGACTTTTTGCGCTCGTCGTTGTGTTCGACGCCGTCCTTGTGGATCCTGTGGGGGTCTCTTGTGTAAGTTGCGTTGCGGAGGGACTTCACGGTGCAATGATGGGTGTGGATGGTTCGGATCGGGTGCTACGTACGGTGAGTCCGTCTCGATCCTCTTCTCTGGTTCCGCCATGATAAATGTGGTTCACAATGAAGAATTCCTGTAAGAGGCTGCAATGAAGCTGTGCGCTTGAGAAAGTGGCTGCTGTGAGTGACGCAGTTGCACCGTGCCGCTCGATAGTTTCAAGCCGTCCGAAGGGAGGGGGGTTCAGATTAAATATCCAGAATTACCCGTCCAACGTCTGAGGGGCCGTCCCTGTCATCTGAATCACCCTGTCTCATCAACCACATGTACTTATAAGTAGCGGGCATCGGTTGAGCACGTAGCCGGGGTGTTGGTTGGGCTGGGGATGAGCAAGGAGGCATACTTTTGAAAGGGAGGGTGATAGCCGGGCATGGTCGTATGAGTTGTACATCATTGCAACATCTCACATTGCATCCGGGCCACCGAGGCAGACCAGTGAAGCAAAGTCATTGAAACAAAGCCTCGCTAACAAGGCCACCAAGTGAACCAGCGACGCCTCTAATCTGCGGGAAGTGAGATGCGAGCGCCCCGAATTGGCCTAACGCTACTAGAGCTCCCTTCGATTCTATGCGGGGTCACAACAGGCGTGACAGGCTATTTCATGCAGCTTACGCTGTAAAAAGCTGCAATGGCCTGTCTGTCTGGCCATTGAGGGGGTACTTCACCTTGCTTTTGTTGGTCGCGTGGCACTCGAGAGAAGGATTCTCCTCCTCCTACAACGGGAAAAGCTTAGAGAAGCTTGGTCTGCGACAAAGTACCGCGATGTCAGTTGAGCAAAAATGTTTTGGAAGCTCTCTTCGGCCAATCATGTTTCGATCCCATCGCATTCTGCGAGGGATGGTGGGAGTGGGATGACGATTGCTAGCACGTTGGGACTTTGAGTAAACGTATGTGGCGCACCCTCCGCAAAGACGCCTTGTAAGACAGGGGGTGAATCTGGGGACGCCCCGGGATCTGACCACACGCACCAAAGTCCCTTGTTTGGTAGGTATTACTGTCAGACAGCCTTGGATGGGTGAGACAAGCCAGACAAACGCGCTCGAAGCTTGCCAAGGCTGAATTCGGTACGTTTGGGTGATGAACGGCGATCCCCGCGCGGAGTAGGTAGCAGAAGGCTCTATGCTTTGAGGTGTTGATGAGGCTTGCACGGCAGAATCTCGCAGCCTGTGTCACCCCACATGTCGATCGCTCATGGCACAAGGCGATGCAAAGTCCTGAGCAGATTGTTGAAATCATAACTCAAGGAAGCCAGCTTGTGTCGCAGCATTGTCACCGAGAGTAACTAGAGCAAGAGAATGTGAAGTATGAAAATGGAAGACCCTGGGTGATGCGAAGCTTATCCACGATGTCTTGCTAGGAACCATTGCCCAGGCTGTAACTAAACTTCAGGAACAACTGATCGGCGTACACAACTCGCCGATTCGAAGGACTTCATCTTATTCAATGTGATCGGATGAAACATTTAGTAGCAGCACTCTAATACCACATCTTATGGATCTTCGGTCTCGGTAAAGATCAGGTAAGCTTTAGTGTCGTCTTTACAACCTTCTAAAGTTCGCGGCCGGGAGGCTAAGTCAACTTAGATATAATTTTCGTATCAATACGACAAGTAAACATGGCACGCTTTCATCTGTATCATGAGAAAGAAACTCAGTGTATTTCAAGAGCCGCCTATAAATACTGTAAAACGAAACTAGCGATACAGAAAAGTCTACTCTAGCTTAAGTGTTGTCTGAATAGCCTCTTGTCTGGCAGTCATATGCATGCACGTTGACAAGCAGATTGAGAATAACGAAAACGACATCGCCGACTACAGGAGTCAATGGATATTTTCATTCAACTTTCAGGCTCGCGGATGAGCTGACAGCCTGCTCCATGAAGTCGTGGACCGATCTCAGCCTGGTAGATGTCGATGCTCCTGAACAAATCTGAAGGAACTACCTTAGAAAGCCAAGGTACTCCTGAGCCAATAACAACAGGCACGTCGGGATTGCTTCAGGCGCCAAACGATCTTAATGCATCAGGGCTTGACATTCAAACATATGTTTTGCTCTGTTCGATGGCAGTAACCGCCAGCGATCACACAATGACCGACCTTGACTTTGCGCGAAAGAAGGACTTCCATTACGTGACATCACCCCACTACCCCCCGCCAAATTGCTCATCCCCGGAACCAAATGCCGCGGGAATCCGTGATGCGTAGTAAGAGCGTCCATAGTGGAGATAAAACGGTTGGACGGATGTCAAGACGGAGTCTAACGGACATAGCAAACGAGGGGCGTGCAGCGCTTGGCTCCCCTCCGAACCTTCCGGGCAGCTCCCGGATCCCGAGGTTCCCGCCCTGTGTTGTTGCTGCCTTCAATGGCGTGCATACGTGCATTTGCTGAATAAGCAGAGGGATGTCTGACACTTTTGAGTTTTGCGATAAACAACTGCACATCTCCTCTAACACTATCCATCAATATTCAAGAAGTTGTGTATGAAATGGCTGCTTCAGCGCCTGCTTTCATACAGGCATTCTCAAGGCAGCAAATCTGTATTTGTCTCCTTATCGGCTTCTCAATATGCTCCACCACCGCCGGGCCGGCGATCGGCGCGGATCTCCGGTGTCCCGATTACGTCATCCAGCACGGTAAGTTAGTCGCGTATCCGATGCCGGCATCCCACTGCTGCGAATGGTGTTGGGGTTTTCTAGAGATCTGATGTGAATTGTAGCACCTCTTCTCTGGCTACACTCTGAGGACCCGTACATGCCAAGCGACCTCTTGACGCACATTCAGCACACTTCCCCGGCTCTGGACGGGAACCCCATTTTTGATGTTGCAACTCTCGACCTAGACAACCTGGAGACTCTCAACAGGTTTGGAGACGAAGTAGCTCTTACATCGAACGATGATCCCTTGAGCTACCCAGAATGGATCCACGGTGCGACACCCGACGCAGATGGCAGAATCAGCAATGCCACGCCATGCGTAGTGGTTCTCGTCGAGAAGGGAGAGCGGGACCTGGATGCGTTCTACTTCTACTTCTACTCATTCAATGAGGGCATGAATATCAGCCAAGTATTGGAGCCATTCAACCGTATGGTCAAAGGCGAAAAGACGCAGTCGGGGATGCATTTCGGTGACCATGTCGGAGATTGGGAGCACAACATGATTCGGTTCAAAGATGGGAAGCCGACTGGAATCTATTACAGTCAACATGTTGATGGAGCCTCTTTCAGTTGGGATGATTCAGCCCTCAAAAAAGCAGACGGACGAGTTTGTCAACCTGGTCTTCCTGCCATTGGCAGTAGTTCACTAACTTTGTCTAGCCTATTGTGTACAGCGCACGCGGATCTCATGCCAACTATCCAACTAGGGGGTGAGTCGTGACTTTTATGAGCGGAAACCGAGACTTAGACTGACTCAAAACATCAGCGACCAAATACACAACTCCGTCTTGGTCGACTACTGCGACGAAGGAAGAAGATGGGATCCCATCCTATCGGCATACTTCTACCACTTCGATAAAGAGTCTTTCACCGTTACTAGACTAGACCCACCAGCGAAATCATCCCCAAATCCACTACCATCTTCGAACCTGACATCCTTCTTCTATTATTCCGGTCGATGGGGAGACATAGCATACCCAGCCTCCGACCCTCGCCAGGAAATTGTCCCCAAGTTTGGACTGAAGAGAGTCGAGTCTGGACCAACCGGCCCTCGACACAAGCACCTCGTCCGAAAGGGCCTAAAGCCAGACCAGAGGCGCAAAATGGGGTGGATGGAATGGGGCGTCGGCATTTATATGTCCTTGTACCCGTGTTGTCTGAGAGGATGGAGGAGGTGGGTCTTCATGGGACTGATCATTGTGGTTCTATCAGGAGCCGTCATTGGGGCTGTCGTGGCCGTGAAGAAGTATAGAAACAGGAAGTATACAAGGTTACAGGCGGAGGATATACCATTAGATGACTGGGCTCTGGAAGATGAGGCGCTGCTGTCTTCGACTGACGAGGAAGAGGGGGATAAACCATCCAAGACTGCTGAACGGCGATGATACTAGGAGACTGCCTCGAAATTAATCAAGAAGGCTTTAGCATAATTGCAAGGCCTATCGCTTCAAGTCTTCATGTATGGTCTCATAAGTCCTGTAAGAAACATCAGATTCGGCCGGAAACGTTGCCGGGCAGGGTTTATGTGCTAGCTGCTAATGCTTCCCGCTACCCGCATAATACCGCTCATATTGGTTTAGCCCTGTACAATCGGCAGCTTGACTACTGTTGGTAGGAATTATTTAGATTTGCCTTCCAGCAGGCTTTCTATAGCCCTATTGCGCTCATTGTGCTTGGGCAAGCAACGTTCATTGCACCCCCTACCACAGTCGCACGGCTTGTAGCGCAAGTAATGATCATTAGACAGACGTATCGTGTTCCGTGGAATCGATTCCTGATGCCACAAGAGAGGGTCTTGCCTTCGTTGTCACACAAACATGGCTCTGCCCCTGCGTCCAGCAACAAGGCAACCACTTGTGGTCCCGCGCTTTGCGCTGCAAAAGACAGCGCTGTACGGCCGTTGACATATTTCAGGTTTACTGCTGCTCCACGCTCGATCAAAGTTTTGACAAGAGCGAATGCGTTGCTTCTCGCAGCGGATGTCAAACCCGTTCTTCCTCGGATATCCCGAAAGGTAATGTCCGCGCCGTGGTCTAGTAAAAGGTATGCGGCCTTGTAAAGACGAGAAGGGTCTTAAAATAGTTATGTTCGTTCCTGGAATCGAGGAAGCCCGCATCTACCGCTATCATGAGAGGGGTTCGGCCATGGATGTCTACAGAGTTTATATTGACTCTGTTTGTTTGCAGTAAGATCTCCGTATTCTCAAGTGCTTCGATCTCTGTGCTGTAGGATAGAGGACTTCGGCTTTGGTTGTCAAGATCGTCAGGTTCGAGATTCAGTTCCAACAACAGATAGGATAGAACTTTCGTATTCTCTACTTTGCCCGGTGCCCAAGACATGGGAGACCTTGCCTGGTGGTCGGGCTTCGCGACATCGATTTGATAGGTCTTCAGAAGAAGCCTCATCATTTCAACACGAAGTGAATCGGAGACCGAAAGTAAACTCGCCAGTTTGCAGAACTGAGTTCGCCCATTGTTCGGATCCGAGGAGCAAAGTGCGTTTTCAAAGCGTTTGTCGCGGAGTAGAGACACGAAACTCCGAAAACTGCCTGATGTATTAAGCGTCTCGTTCAACAGAATGGTTCTGTCTTCGTCAGAAAACTCTGAGAAAATACGTTGGTCTGCAAACAGGAGCTGGAATATATCTTCGTTATGAGCTGCAAAGTGCACGAGTTTCCACTTTGATCTGCCTAGAGCAGCAACGCTCGTCCTGGGATCTTGGAGCAAAGCTTCCACTGCAGCGTTGCGGCCGACTTCGATCGCAGCCGGTAAAGGCGATCGGCTGGGATCCAATGTGTTTACGGCGATATTCGCGTAATCAGCGTCGCCATTTCTTGCAAGGAGGACACGAATGACGCCAGCGTGTCCAAAAGAAGCTGCCCAGTAGAGTGGGGTTAACCTATCTTCGTCCTGAAAACGGCCAAGCAGAGTGTCTGATGGTAGAAGTTCAGAGACCGTCGATGGGAGGCCGAAACTTGCGGCGTAAGTCAAAGGAGCTGTGATGTCTAGGCTCTTACGCGGCAAGCAAGCACTTTAAATCCGGGTTCCGCCTGTCTTCGACTAACATATGAAAAGCCCTCAGCAGTGTTGGTTTGGTATTTTTCCTCGTTGCGGCTCTGCACAGAGACACGACATCATCTCTAAAAGAACTAATGTCGTCTGGATGCTCCTCCTCGAATTTGCTTTTTGTTTGTAACGAGCTCTGCAATAGCTCGGCATTGGGCATCTAGCCTCTCGATTTCGTCAATCAAAGTCTTCCAGGTGTCGCCTCTGAACATGTCTCTGATGAATCGGGTTGAACGGCTGCGCTGGAGATAGCAAAGCGCTCGAGCCTGGAGCTCAATGATCTTGGAGTAGAGATTGACTAGGTTGCGTTCTAGATCCAGCTCGAGACTTCTGGCTGATTCGGCTGGCAGACTTTCCATGCGGGCTCTGGGTCGTTAAACTCTTTCCATGGCGAAATATCGACAGATGAGAGAAGATTTCAGTTCAAGACCTCGAAGGATGTGTTCTCTTTGCTCTACGGGACGAACGAGGAACTGTTCGGAAGTTAGTCCTGTTGAGTCAAAACTGTGCTTCAGGGTATGAGGTGGCAAAACGAACCATAAGGATGACCAGTCCACCAGCACAGGCAAGAGCGGCGTGAGGCTCGGCGCCAGCAGCACTGCTGATGAGGTTCCTTGCAGCAACGATATGCTTCGACACATTGTTGAACAAGGGTTCAATAGCGAGCTCGCGACTTCCGAGAGAAATGGTCAAGCGCTCTTGACTCAGTTCCTCCACCTTTGCATTCAAGCTCTCAGCAATTCGTTCGTGTTTGAGATGGCCTGTCTCCGTGGCTATGGGACCGCTTTCAGGCCCAGAAAGCTCCACCTCTAGGATTTCCGTGTACTGCTGAGCAAGCTCCCTCTTCTCAGAATCGGAATCGTTCTGCAGAGCTTTGATTGCCCGCTCCCAAATATTCGTCAAGGTCGGATCGGTGCCCGTAGAAGATATTGATGACAATATTGGTGGCGTAGTGTCGCTGATGTTGTCAATTTTCTCTTCGATATCTACTGGTAATAGAGATGGCTCGGGCTGACACTCGTGGATAGAAGATGGGCTTGGCTTGACCAGAGAAGCATTCGAGGACGCCAATGTTGTCAACCCCGAGTCCGTTACTACAACACGGTCCTTCGGTATTCTTTTGTGCTTCAGCCTCTCGAACCAAGTCATTTTCTTCATCTTGTGAGATTCTAGCAGTTGCGCGGATTTCGTCGAAAAGAAGGCACTAGTTAAAGCAAGTCCGGTGTACGGGAACAAGAGATCGCGATAAGTCAAACGCATATGCTATGAGATACTTTGAAAAGGATGAAAAAGGTGACGAGAGATCTGGACGAGAGGAGGAAAACAGGAGACTGCACATCTGCATGAAAAAGGCAGCCAACAGGCGAGGTGCAGATAGGCAACCAGCATCCAATCAAGCTCATGCAGCGAGCCAAGTTGCCAACCGACTGCCTCAATATGCAACGCAACCGCCGGCGTTACCTTGGCATGGCAAATTGGTGAGAACAACAAGTTGCAGGTCACTGTCGCTGGCTGCCATTGGCTAAATATGGTGCAGCATGTGTGCTGATCACGCAGGTCATCTCATTCTGGGCCAACATGAGCGGATTAAGAAGCGGGACGATAATCTTTACCACGCACGCACAAGACTACGAGGAAGGCATTGCAAAATAGACATGGTACACGCGTTTGAAAGTTACATCTGGTTTCTTTGCCTAGTACTCATTGAACCGTATTCCTACATCAAAACCTCGAATAAACCGAAACCGTTTCCATCTCTGCGCAGGAGGGGGTATCTTCACAAATCAATCGCCGTTCCATATTACATCCAGACTCCTGTGTCAAAACACCCATTCCCTTTCATAATAGTATCTCCCAAAACACGAAAACGGCTGACTCAATGGAACATTGGCATTCTGCCGTAAGCTTGCATCCGAAACTCGGGATGATTCTAGCAAACCGATCTCTGGTTGTTCACTGGAGCGCCGGCAGGAGCCGACGGGACCACGGCAGTCATAGAGCTGGTGCGGGAGTTTCCGGCCGCCGCAAGGTCAACGTTCTGCCAGGCAGTGTCGCTGGTATCCTGGATTCCCTGGGGCGAGGTGCCGCTGGCCGAGAGGTAGATGCTGCTCGTGTCGTGGGGCATAGCCGGGGCGAAAGGGTCGAATACGGCAGGCGGCTGGGTGACCTGGTCGACGACGGTTCCATCGGAACTCTTCTCAGACTCTTGGGTCGAGCTAGCTGCGTGAGCTTGCTCATTCGCAAGCGCGGCTGCAATCTGGCGGCGATGGGCAATTTCTGCAGCGTCGGCGGGCAGGTGTAGATGACCCTCATGAGAGAGCTTGGGAAAGGTGGTCGAGCGGACTCGCTTCTCATCGTCAATGAGAGCGGTAACCTTCTTGCGGAAAGAGCGCATGCGAAGGATCATAACGACAGTGAAGATCATGACGATGATGCTGACCATGATCCAAACGACGACAAAGTAAGGGATGCTCATCTCGGAAGCTGTCATAGTGATGACGACAGTGATGGAGACAATCGTGTTGGTAATGAAGAAGAGGTTGAGGACAGCAGACCCTACATAGATCTTGTCATCAAGACTGATGCGCTCGTACCAGGTGGTGTCTGTCTCGAAGTCCTTCTTTCGCTTCTCTTGGCGGCGGCGGAGGATCTGAAGATTGAGAAGCTGAGAGCTGCAGCGACGGTGGTGGAAGAGTCTGAAGGGTCTCTGTCGGTACTTGGAAGGGATTGCATTGCTCGATTGGGCGTCCTTCTCAGGCTTCTCGACTAGGGTGGGAATATTGGCCAAGTTGCGACTGGTCAAGTTGCGTCCAGTCTCGTGCACAGAGAGGCCTTGAGGGTGAGACGCAAGAAGTCGGCCATTCGGGTGATTGATCTGGAACTCATCCAACGACTCGGTGACGCTGATCTCGACTGCCGGATTATAGTCGTCTCTAGAACGGTAGTCGAATCGGCTGGAAGTAGCAGTGAAGCTTCGGACAATGGGCACCATGGTCGAGGTGCGGGGAGTTGCGTTCTGGAAGGGCCAGCGAGGGGATTTGGCTTTACCACTGAGCGGGTGACGGTGCAAAATCATGCTTTGACCGCGGACGGTAGGCGGAGTGTAATCGAGGTTGATGACCCTGTCCGACTCTTCAGAAGACATGGGAGAAGGAGGAATGGGCGTCGAGGGATTCGGTGCAGGGCGAGGCGCATCATACGGCTCATCAGAAAGGTCTGAGACGTCGTCGCTAGTGAGAGTCTTGATGATTCTCGGCTTGGTCGGCAGCTTGAAGGAGGTGAATTCCTCCACAGAAGGGTAGGCCGCTCCACGACTGGCGACTGCAGTCGTGCCAGAGCTGAATGAGGCCTGCGGCGGCAGCGACATTCTTGCTTGTGGTGATGTATGCTCTGTGACGATTCTTCCAAGTGAGGGTATTCACAAAAAAGAGTGTGGTCGAAAAGAAAGACAAAGGGGATGTGCGAAAGAATGAATAGCCGAAGAGGGTCAAAGAGGGTTACAAACGAAAGTAAATGATGGTTGGCTATGGGTGAAGGAGAGTGTTGGCTTTGTAAGAAGGAGAAAATTATTCCATGTTGTGCGGGTGGGAAAGGTTGACGCGGTTCAGGAGTTGAAGACGCGTCTGCCTCCAGGCACCCACAACACCACAGGTCAGCGGTGAGCAAGTTTTTCCTCCCGGAGGGAAGCAACGACCGGGTGACTTCTATAAATGAAGAAGGTGAAGTTATCGTCAGGAAAAGGAGCAGACAAGATAGAGATCCCCGTGGTTAAATCCTGCACCACGTTGACTCAGGGTCAAACCATCACAGGAATGCTGAGTTGCCATCAGCAATCATCTTCCATTCCAGAGTCCCAGTTACAGTAACCCAATTCAATGTTTATTTTCATGTCTCAGATAAAGTTTCCGCATTTGGTCAACCTCAAATGGACACGTTCAAACCTTATGATGCACATCATCTCCCACACACGTGGTTAGGCAAGCAAGTGAGCAAAACATCTGCAGCTACGGAGTGGCCAACTATCTGGGGAAATGACCTCGGGCCGTACAGAAACATTCGGCAATTGATGACCCAAGGTCTTCGGAACTTGCGTGGTCTGACTTCTGCAGTCCATTCGGTCTCGACGTCGTCCGAGGCTTGTTGGTCAATGCCAAGAATGCTCCTTTCCAAGCAGAACTCTGACAACAGCCCGGACGCGCCTGCCCAACTTTTGAGTGTTTACAGCATATAACTACACATGTATACAGGCCAATAAAAGATTAGGGTTTCTTGTACACTCGTGACTTTACCTGAATATCAAGGTATTCCGGAAGTTCCAAAATCGACCTCGGAGACCAATTCTTCCGGGTCTCTTGAGTATTCATCGCTACATGGTATGAGAATATATGAAAATTTTGAACGTAAATTGTGTATTCATTCTTCCAGCAAACCCTACTTTTACTCACCCTGCCTACCTAGACCATGGCTCTGAGCACGACGCTACTCTGGTGTTCCAGACAATTTGGATAATTCTTTCTTGGTGCTGGTAGCCCAGTTACCTTTCGATTCACGGATGACATCGAGGCTTGGGTGCGTACCAGAAGCAGAAGCCTTCGGGGCTTCTTGACCGTTTGCTGGTTGATGTGCTTCATCCGCGATAGAGTCTGGCTTGGGAGGCTGCTCGCCCTCATAACGCACGCCGTTCACGAAGCATCCTTCTGAACCACCATCACCAACAGTGGTGGCATTAAAAGCGTCTCCTATCCGAGCAACCTCCAAGTCGTGTTTGAGCCCTTTCTTGGACCACTGGATCATAATGATGGCCACTATGGCCCAGAGCACTGCGATACCACTAATACTGATCCAAACGAACATGAAGGGAAGATTCAAGGGAGGCTGAACGTGGTCTCTGGCGGCAAATATAGCAACAGAAAATAGCAGGCTGCATGAAAAGGAGACAAGGACGCACAACGCTTTGTACATGGAGAAACTCTTGGCCCTAGCACGGTATACGGCGTGCCTCTCGTTGTCACCATGAGTTCGCAGCTGGTAAAGGTACAAGGCAGACTCGACCTTCTCCCAGAATGTCTTGATCGGCGGTAGTTCTCCATTATTGGCTTGCTGCCCAACTTGACCGTTCATCCGATCAGCACCTGTGACCTCATGAACATGGAGATGCTCGGGGGCGTGGCGATGAGAGGAGTCTGGGAGCTGCTGGCCATTCTCAGCGTCCACCATTTGGATCGGCAAGTCGTTCTGGATGGCGCCGCTGCAATGCGGGTGTGTGGCGGTGATCTCGGGCATCTGAGCGCTTGTCTCTTTGGTTTTTGGGGTATTTTGGATGGACGAAGAGCCGCGTTTGTCCTTGTTGTATTTCTCAACGAGCTGCATCGGCCGAGGTCCTTTGGTCGACACTGGCTGCTGATTCAGGTTCGAATCGACCCATTTTGGCTTGTTTGGGGCGTTCTTTGCTTGTACCGCCCTGAGTTTATTTTTCAGGTGCTTGGTGGCGATGTTGCTTTCGAAGTGTGATTGAGACATTGAGACACGGTTGAATTTACTGCAAATTTGTTAGTTGCTTGGTTGACGTATGAGGTGAATTGACTTGAGTAGCTTGAGTTTACGAAGTTGGGAGCTTCGAGCTCGTTAAATGCGTTGTGCTCATCGCGTGCCTTTGTGTTGAACAAGATCTTGTTCTAGCTGACCTCCGTTTGTTGCGGAATGAGTTGGCGACACTGCCTTTTGTTTTTGATAGGTATGTCACAACGGGCAACAGTTGACACAAAGCCGATGAGTTTGTGCATGAAGATAGCTTTTGAGATTGAGGAGCGAGATTGTACAGCGGATACTTCGGCGTGGACGTTGGTTTGTTGAACCAAGAGCTGCGACGACGCGGCCCATAGACGTCAACGGTGGTGGCGGGTGACGTCGAGGCTCAGAGCATGGGCTACTAGTCGGTCTCCCATGATTGAGGTTGACCTACCCTTATACGGAAGCCATAATTTGCATGTTCTGATGGTAGTGGATTTTCTGGAACATGCAGGCAAGATCATTGGGCTCGACGTGGCAACTAGCAGAAGCCCAATAGCCTTGCGAGGCAGGCATGGCTTGTCGCTGGTTCAGTCTCAAATTCCAGTAAGTACGGTACTTACCATAATTACTAGGTACTTTGAGGGAACTCCAGTTTCAGGCTGAAGCACAAATCAACTCTTCTGCATAGGGCAATACTTCTGACACCTGTGACAATTCAAGTCAACAGCTGAACAAAGGAGGCTGTTGTAAACTGAGACTTTTAATAGCAAAGCGCCAACAACTAACACCTACCTACTGTCTCGAAGCTCCGTTTCAAAGCTGACTTTCGAACAGAACAAGTAGATAAGATTCTTAGGCCAAAAGTCTAGGAGCTTCGCGACTCTCGTGCACGCAGAGAGTTGCGTATTCATAGATTAGGGAATTAAACTGCATCGCATCTCGATATTCTCGCACTTGCGGCAGCTTGTTAGCAGAGAGTAACAAGGAGGAAGTTCTGCAACGGCTCCTGCTTCGAGGCTGGACCTGACGATGGCATGTGATGAACCAAAATGGCGACGCGTTGAATGGCCTATTCATAAAAGCGAGAAAGTCTCTGGATCCAAGTCGTCTCGTTGCACAGCATGTTTGTTTAAGTTCGCATTTGACCAAGCAAACTGGGCTTGAGCAAGCCAAGGAGAAAAAGAAAGTTTCGAACAAAGTTCGTGCGGCGGAAACCGCAGAAGACTTTCATCCAAGAAGTTAAAGAAAGTTTGCTTGACGCCGCGCACCTCTCTATTCTCGTCTCGAGGTAGAGGTCAGTTGGAGAGCCAAAACTTGCATCTCGCCAAACTGTTGGTATCCCTATCACAGGGAAGTTGGTTCGAACCGTAGGGTCCTGTGGTTAACGAAGTATCAATATCTCTGTATTGATTGATTCTGCGTAAGGAGTAGAAGGGAGACTCCAACCGGAGGTTGGGTGGGTAGTCGAGGTCTAAGTGTACCCCCTCGAGGTGGCCCATGCTCTGCCCCTACTCGCGGCCGAATTTGACTTCCAATCCGACACAAACTTCTCTTCGTTGCCTTGGAGTTGCGATTTTGCGCTCGCGGATGCGCAGCTTTTGAAGATCGCAGCTCGCAAGATATCTTTATCCAATCAAAGGCAAGATGGCCGAGCGGTCTAAGGCGCTAGCTTCAGGTGCTAGTCAAGTAATTGGCGTGGGTTCGAATCCCACTCTTGCCATGTTTTGCCTAGATCTCAGTGGGGGTGCTCTTGACCTTAATCTTTTTGTCAGAATTGGATAGATTCTTGTTGGTATCATTTGTTGGAGGAGGGCTGAAGCTTCAGATATGCAGATGCCGGCTTCAGGCACTTTGTAAGCGAGAACACATTTTCTATTGACAACAAATGCCGTGCAACTCCCATCAAACTCTCCCACGTTAACGCGACCCATTGTGCAGCTTCTCCCCCTACCATATCCCTTGAAAAGAATGCCCAGATATGAAAGGCTCAGTCTGTCAACAACAATTAGTCCGTTTGTCCTCGACTTCTGCAGAAAAGATTGAAATGATCACTTACCAGGGAGGAAGGCAATGCCGCTTTCAGAGCCCTTCTCAAATCTGTTCAAAGGCAAGGCTTGAAGCTCGCTTTTTGGCGTTGGACAAACCACGAATGTCAGACATCCACTCAGCCCAGCTCATCCCACCTGCGCATGGTGGACTCCATCAGGCAGTAAGCTCAGGATGCGTACTCCAGACAGCCTCGAAGAGACCATCGGTCAGAATGGAGTTGTACCCATCCTCTCCAACGCATACTCTGATGAACTCCATATATGCCACGTACTCTTCGGCGGTTGCGAATTCTAGATTCTTGCCTTCCAAAGCTTCTTAACCAGGTTAACCCGGCGCGCACCCGAGGGTCGACAGTATTCCGTAATCGACTCGTACAGGTCTTTCGGGTCGACATCAGGCTTCAACAGAGAGTGAGCCTGCAGGCCCTGGTAGACGGTGTTGTCAAGTGAATCGAGCAAAATCTCGTAGATACGAATGAGCTTTCGGGCCCAAACTACTTGGTTTCAAGGACCAGCAGATCCGTCAAGTGGTTGATCTTGCGTCAGAGCCTTTGCCTCTAGCCCTTCTTCATTCGGCGTGTTTTGAATTCCGCGGTTCCATAATTCGTAGTTGGTTCGACCGCGTAGCTTTACCACACACTTGGGGGCGGACATGATGTTGGGCTCTGGTGCTGAACGTGAGACTGGTAAGAGCCGAGACTGACAAGAACTTTGCTATGGCTGGTTGAACGATGTCGATCGAGCGGGACGACCAATGTTCGGTGATATCATGATATCAGATAGAGGGCTCCTATTTAACGCATTTGCCAAGAGGATACAGGAAGGTGCACTTCAAGTTTTATGTCCCCTTGAAAACTGTCGGAACGGCAAGGCTGATAAGGAGCAATGGGCAGGTATCGTGTGCTGGCTGGTGCCTGCCCTGGGCGAAGTGGGACAACCGGCTTAGTCATCACGGCCGGTTAAGGTGGGGCAATGACAGAATTCGGAATTGTACCGTTGCGCCATATACAAAAGAGAGATCCCTCTACTGCATTTAGGTAGTTGTGGGTACATATAGTTTCCGTCAGGCAACCACCCAGGCCGTCCCCACGTACTTCGATCGGCCCCTGCCCACAATGTAAATAGGAAGAACAGCAGCAATTATCACGGACATCGACGTGATTGTTGCCGAAGATACACCCTCATGAGGAAATGTATCACGCCTGTGATACCAACAAAAACACTTTACGGCGACAGTGCATCACTAGTTGAAGCTACCACATGTCGGGGTAGAAGCCTCTAGTCCACGGCAGGGGTAATATTTCCTTCGACATGGGAGAAATTTTCGTCTAGGCATCCGAGATATTTCGAACTTTGAAGAGGCTATGAGTAGTTATGAACACCAGGTTTCTAGAGACAGAGTCATTGTTCTCCTCCACCTAAGATATTTTTGGAACTTGATTTCTTTCATAGTGGGCTGGTTGTGTTGCGAACCCCAAGGAAATTTATCAAAGTTCTTTTTCCTTCGATAACTACACATAAAGCAAAAGAAGTGCCTACCTCTGTGAAGAAACAATCATTGTCGAGATTCTCATAGCCACATGCAGATTAATAACGTGGCTAAAAGATATTGCGCTATGCCACCAGGCGTGAGAACTGCGATTTACTTTATTGTGGTACAATGAATAAACTCTCGCCTTGATCTAAGGCAACAATCTGCCTCTTTGTAGTTGTTTTCACCTTCAACTGGAAGGCTACCTTAGTATGTCTGAGCTACGAGGAAGAAAGTGTGAAAGACAAAACAGAGAAAGGTTCTCATGCCTGATGCATCTTGATAATAAAGCCGAAATAGCGGCACCACATGGGTGAGACATACAGGCAGCAAGTCATGGGATTAAAAGTTGAGCAACTGCATTTTCTCAATTGATTTGCTTTTTATATCCAAATAAGCTACTCTATGTCAAATGAGTCTGGTAATTCAACCGAAGAACTTTCGGCAAGCTCTCCCTGACCTGAACATACTGAGATGGTCGCATCCTTGCCAGCTCACCTAGTGATGTATCCGAGCTTGATGAAATCAGACTTGAAGTTAGGCCTGAGCTTCTTCAACTCCTCGACCATGACGTTCCACTGTGTAACATTGTAGTGGGCATGAAGAGGCGCCACCTCTCGGTACACACCCGGGTGCGTCTTTCTAACCGCGTTACAGAACAACAGTGTCGTGACAGAGTTCTGCATGTCGTTCACCTCCCAGTGACCTTCGGTGCAGGCTCTGACGAAATCTATATAGCAGATGAAATCATCTACTGTATCGAAATCCGTGAGTTTCAGCGTCATTATCTTCTGTATCAAGTCGGCGGCGAGTTCGGGACAAGGCTGTAGATACTCTTCAATAATGTAGAGAAGAAAATCTGGGTCGTCATCGTGATGCAGGAGGTTGTGAAGTTGCAGGCCGCTCAAGAAGACTGGATCCAGGGATTGGAGGACAATTTCGCAGACTACCCTATTGGTAGACCTGCCCTCGCTTGGTACAAGACTTGTGTAGATTGGAACCAGGGAAGGGGGCTTTGGGGCATCGCATATGCTGTCGCCATCGTCCAGGCCAAGTGCTTCCCAGAGACTCCTTTTCCACCCATGAAATTGCATACGGCTTCTGAGTGCTGGGATATCGAAATCTTCAGTTGTCATCTGTTGTGGATTGAAAGGAGCTTCAGTTGGTGAGATTTTGTTTTTGGGGGAGGAAGGAAGTTCCGTTGGTGAACAGATAACCAGACATGATGATGTATGTTCGGGAGAGACAGAAGGTTCTGCTATTGAGCGAATGTCTACGGGCGACGGAGGAGTACCGGAAATTGGGGGGTCGCCTGACATCTTGGAGATCGGAGAGCGCAGTGTTACTTGCAGCTTGTGAGTCATAACATTGAGTCAACTAAAGTACCAATCGATCCAGGGAGAGTCTGACGATTCACTCGTCAAGAGAGTACGACTGGGGGAATGCTGATATATATTGGTCGAGAGAAAGAGTCCGGTTGGGCTGGATACTCCTGTCACCCAAGTTGCCATGTTCAAAGCACATTGTGAAGCTATCCATGTGAATTAACCGAATGAATCAAGGCAGGGCAATTGTCATAATGTAGTAAATTCCGAATTTGGACTCATTGTTGAACCCTCTTCTCCTTCTTCCTTCAACGCGACGCCGGAAATAGACTGCCTTTATAGACCCTTTCAGCCTTTTTGAACTCCGTCTCCAAACAAACCCAAACAAATACTAATAAGAAAAGCCGGCGGCTTCCGTGAGGGGCGCGTACAGAGCGCAGGGGTAATCCGCCGCAAGCGTCGCCGACACCGTCACATCACTCGATGATCCCGAGCCCAAGAGTCCAAGCTCGAACCCAAGAGCACTTCCAATTTTGGGCCATCCAACACCACCGCTGGGGTTCTTGGCGAAGCCGCCCCAGACGCCCTGCATGTAGGAGCTGAGCTTCGTCTGCTGCGCCGTCGCGGATCCCCACTTGCTGTACGCGGGGTACGTGCCAAAGACTGAGGGAATCTCGCTCGTGTGGTAGGAGCCAGGGTTGGCGAAGATGCTGGTGGAGGCGAAGACGGGATCGTAGCGATAGCGATAGGCGGTGTATCCGTTGATGGCGAGGTAGCTTGCCAGGGTGGACGTCGTGCACGTGAAGATAGCATCCGTTATGATCCTGTCGGCGACGACGTAGGGGTCGTTGAGGGCCTTTGCGGCGTAAGAGGCCGTGATGGCGCTTTTCGTGACAGCGGAGCTGACGCCGATTTGGGAGAGTGCCGAGCTCAAGGCTGCGGCTCCGTCGTTCATGCCCTCGACGGCGAGGAAGACGCGGGCCTCGTTGAGGGTGGTACCCATGATGACGGGGATCTTGGGCCACTCCTTGGAGGAGATGCTGCTGCGAACATCGTTGATGGATGTACCGTCACCGTTGACAGGAGGGAAGACGAGGGCCTGTGCTTCAATGAAAGCCTTGATATCAGTGGCGGAGACCTGGCGGAGGCACTTGACGTCGGCGCAGTTGAAGTTCTTCAGCACCTTGGCGTAGCTGTCGGAGCCGGAACCCACGAGAAGAGATTGCTGTGACTCCATGATGGCAGCTGAGAAGGGCAGAGGGCTGGGCGGGTTTGCGAGGAGCTGCTTCACAGATTCACCACCGGCAGACTCTCCGAAGATAGTGACGCGCGAGGGGTCGCCGCCGAACTGAGCGATGTTGGCTTGGACCCATTGAAGAGCGAAACGCTGGTCAAGGTATCCAGAGTTCTGTGAGCCAGTTGCGATATCAGGAGAGTTGGAGAAGCCGAAGACTAGAGAGTGTGGTTAGCATATTTGTGGACTGGACACGCATGAAGAGACCTTACTGTTGGTACGGTAGTTGATCGTGACCACCACGACATCTTGAGAGACGGCAAGCGAGCTTCCATCGTAAATAGGCAGACTGGCAGTTCCAAACTGAAGGTTGCCAGGGAACAACCAGAACATCACAGCCTTCTTGCTGGTAGACGTTGCACCCATAGGAGTGAAGACGTTGAGGTACAAGCAGTCCTCACTCTCATCTGTAAGAGACCCAGCTGGGTTTCCGAAGTAGGCCTTTTGCAACGTCCGAGCATTGCCTTGCTCTATGAACTGTTGGATACAGGCTGGCTTGAAAGCTTGAGCTGACAGTGGAGACGACCATGCATCCGCGGCTTGGGGAGGAGAGAACCGCTCCGGAGGAGACTTGGCAAAAGGAATTCCCATGTACGCATTCGCGGTTCCGGTTGCTGATGCTGGTTGGGCCGTGGTGCCAATCACGACGCCGGAGGCGATTGTGACCGTTGGGCCGGCATTGGCAGGCGCGGCAAGGGCTTGGAGGAAGAATGTGGAGGAGAGAAGAAACGTGGTCAACGAAGGGATACCCATCTTGGATAGAAGAAACGGTTTGTGAAGACCTGGAAGACTAGAGAAGGATTGGATTGGAGTCAATGCTCTTGGTTGTTAGAATCAATGCCCATGGTCCTCTCATCTGTTTTTATGTCTGATGCTGCTCATCAACACTGCCATCGAACTCTCGGGATCTTCATTGTGACCGCGGGGCTACCGATTGAGGATATCTCTAACGTCACCAAGAGACTATCGACCCTTTGTGCGGCGAGGCGACAACTAACACATCGCGCGTGGCCTACGAAGCTAAAAAGCTCGAGCGCTTTGACCAGACCTAACGCCATTGTAGGCGGTGCTGATTACTAGAGACTGGCTAGATCACAGCGGCCCGTTTCCGGACGACGTCTCCCGCATTTGGCATGGTAGCTGTGCCTGTCTCAGGCCCTAAGTGAGTCGCGGCAGCACCGATGTAATAAGGGACTATTTCCCATTCTTTCGTGCCTTTCTCATGGTCTGTGGAAAGGCCGTGCTTGGGAAGGTCTGGACGCCTGGATGGCGACGCTAGAGAACCCAGATTTCCGGGAACCAAAGAGAGGGCTTACCGAGACATTCTGAGGTCGCCGTTAGTCCCGGCCATTCAGGACGAAAAAGACCCGTCCTTGCGAGACTCCCCATAGTGCCCATGAAGCTATGGCCATTTTCCATGACCGAAAGGAGATTCGACGTGGCGAAAGCTCTTAAAGCTGTGCCTCTTCTAGAACGCACGTCAAGCCTCGTCAAGTTCAGGCGTTTCTCGCTAAGTCCACGGCGCTGCTGAAGCCTGCACAATTGCGCCCTTGACGTCGACCCCACAATCGCCGGATCCGATGCTGACGTGAACCAGGAAGTCGATTAATTAGCCGCTGTAAGGCATGCTAGGACAGTAAGCTGAGGAGTCCCGAGATGGGAAGAATACTTTGCCAAGAGCCCATAGATTCAATTTCCCGACGCTTGGGCTCTTGGATGAATCGAAGAGTTGATGACTAAACCCGCGCATTGCCCCTGAATCGTCGGGCTGCGCAAAAACAAGGTTCCAGACAGGTCTTCAGTAAGCTTGTAGTCGTCTTTGGTCGCACTTCATAACTTGATGATAGGCTATTATCACTCTGGTCCTCAATACTGAACCAGTTGCCGGGTTTCTCAGCATTGCAGGCGTTGACCAATAATGATAGCAAGATGCAGAGGAGCCGTTTGAAGCTGACAGGATTGCCTCTTCTGAGTCATCTCGTGAGAGAAGTTGGGGACAAGCGCCAGTATCAGCAGGCAACGAGGAGGGGAAACTCAAAAACGAACAGGCAGCAGTCTGATCAATCTACATTACATATATCTGAGGTTGTACAACCTCGGAGCAACCACTTAAGTGACCAACTTGGTCGAGTTTCCACCCTCAACCAACTCGTCAAATCTCAATCAAGACTTGCGTGCGACATCCGACATATTTGCACTGTACAGCCCCGCACCGACCCGAAAATTACCAAAACAATGGGCGACGACAATGCTAAGTGGGAGCTCTCGAAGCCGGCCTCGTCGACCTGGGACGAGGCGCGGATCATCCCCGCGGACGGATGGGAACGCATGAAGAAGGGATTGACGCCGCAGGATATGGACGACCGCTGGGTCATTCGCCAACTCGAGAAGGACGGCGAGGAGAGTGTTGTCTTTGCCCGGAGTTGGACTCAGTACACACTGGGCAAGATCACGGTCGAGCCCGCAGGAGATGATGGCAAGAGCCGTCGGATAACCAAGTTTACATGGGAGACGGACAAGGAGCGATGGATTGTTCAGGACGCGGAGACTGAGGCGAAGGACCTGGTCGTGAGGTTCTCGAAGGGTGTTTTCCAGGTTGACTTGGCGGATAAGCCGCCCTCTGAGTAGGACGATAGTCCAAACAGAACATAGACCTCATGAGTAGCCGGCATGCTTGGCTGGAATCCCACGAATCAAAGTCTCTTTGACCCAGTTTTCGCTCTTTACAAACCCATCCTCAAGTTGACAAAGCTTGATGTCTCGTTGCATAAGGTACCCACGGGTTTCCATCCAAAGTCCGTGCTGTGGGCCCACGACAAAGACACGGATGCGGGGCTGCTTAGCAACATAAGTGTCCTTTTGTCTCTACCGACCACAATCCCGGTGTTTCCCGAACACCAACATCCGCATCTGTAGTGTAGTGGTTATCATCCTTGCCTTCCATTCTAACACCTGGTTAGCAAGGGACCCGGTTTCGATTACCGGCGGATGCATCACGCGGATGATATTCCTTTTGCTTCTTGCTCACATTCTTAAGTCTGTTGTTGAGCGGTTTAAAGACCCTCACAGATCGCCCACATCGACAGTCTGTGTCTGCATATAGGCATAATTCATTACATACACATGCATCCGCTCGATCCTTTTCTTTGCACAATGTCACGAAATAGGGATAGCATCAGCACTCTGTAATCAGCCCATGACGTGCGTTATCACGTGATTCTCTCATTTGTTCCTAGCGCCTTTCCTTGCCTGATTCTATTTGGGTTAATAAGCCACTTTTACCACACTTCATATGCCCATTGCTGCGTGCCATAACTCGTGACACACAACATTTATGAGAATAGCGCTGTCAAAGAGTAATGAAGCTGCCCGATGTTGGAAATCGGTTGGAAATCGGCTCTTTTTAATATCGGAAAATTGTAGAGCTTAATCACTTGATGGGAAGACTAAGTAATTTTCATCCCCTGGTTCTTGAAATGAGGCTGTTGGAACAGCAAAGGCTGATAAGGAGTAATAGGCAGGTACCATGGGCTGGCTGGCACCTGCCCTGGGCGAAGTGGGACAACTGGCTTAGTCATCACGGCCGGATAAAGGTGGGGCAACCACACAGGCCGTCACTACCTACTTCGACCGACTCCTGCCTACAATGTAAGATAGAAGAACAACAAGAAGAACAAGCAATAGGATCACCAACAGACGAGTGATAATTGATTGCTACCACTATTTGTCATCCCATCGAGTGCCAATTGACAACAGGTACATTATGCCCAGTTTTGACCCACTTTTGCCCCCTCACCGCGGGAATACATGACGGTACGTCATCAACCCCTATATTTTTCCAGCTGCGTTCACCACCACAACTAACATTTCTACAGATGGGCAACTGTCGCGATGTCCTCAAGCGACTCTGATGCGTCTGATTCGTCAGCGCTTTCACATATCACCGTCGCAGTACTTCCCGAAGACCTTGATAGCGCCTGTACAGCTCAATGTAGGCCCGAGAGGTGTGATAACGCAACTGTACGCCCACACGAATCGCCTCCGCTAGAAAGGGGCACAGCGGGCCAATTCAACCCCCTCGACGTGCCCTACCGCGCCGCAACAGTACGGGGTCTATCTACTACCCCTTTAGAGCTTTTTCAGCAGTATGTGCCTTTGAGGCTGGTTGAATCGTGGGTACAGTGGACCAATGAAGCCGCAGTACGAGGCCCTGTTCAACAACACTCACGATCCCACAGAAAAAAGACGAGGTCAGGGTGCCTGCAGTGTGGAGTAGCGCTTTGTAACTCGGATGATTGCTGGTACCTCTTTCATAGTCAGAGTATATAGACAACAGAAGTATCCATAATCTAGGCTTTTTGGTTGGCTAGAAGAAGTCTTGGCTGTCTCCTGAGTGGTCAGTTCCCCTCAAGGGCATGTACCTGTTGCCAATTGGCACTCGATGGGATACGACCCCGTGAACCAACAGAGGCTAACAGAGCGAGGTCTCACACGTTTACTTTGACCTGATTTTATGTGCTTACCCTTTCAATCGCCTCAATTTGCTCAAATATGGTGAGGCAAGTTGAGTAATGTACTTAGCTGCAGGACTTGGCCAAAACAAGATTTTCGGTAAGCAGCCGAGTCCATACGCGGTGGTGTTACCCTGCAGGTGAGAGAAGCAGGCTGGCAGCATCTGGGCCTCCGACTCGTGATCTTTGCCATTTCGAGTCCATCTTGGCCTCTCGGCCGGCTTCGGCGGTCATCGACGCATATACGGGCCCACTAATACAACGAGATGCGGCCGCAGGAATAAAAGACTAAACCCACTGGCCTATATCCGTCAATTTCCGCCCGTCTCTGACTTTGGTCTTCGGATCTGAAGTCCATCGTCCCGTGCCGGGTAGTAGAGTTGCATGCGCGGTCTTCGGATCTGAAGTCCATCGTCCCGTGCCGGGTAGTAGAGTTGCATGCGCGGGCGGCGGCACGGATAGACCGACCTTCCCGAAGGAGTGAAGGTCACAGTGCTTATGATCCGTTATTCTCGCCCTGCATGGGTGAGAGGGGATGAGAGAAAAGTTGTCATCACACGTGCTGAGATAGCTTGTTTTTAATGTGAATTAATGTTGCAGTTTCACCTCTTTTTGGAATATTGTTCAATGTGATATCCAACTAGGCATCCAATCAAGACCAGCTCCTTCCCGAAAGGCTTGCTCTGATGATTCTCGTCGGAGGCAACAAAGGTCTCGCCGAAACACGTATGCTTTTTTGTAAGCGTTTTGTCTGGCTCTTGACTCCGCCGTCACCGTACCCCAGCATGGGCTTCAAGTCTAATATTTCCTACAGTTTCTTTCGGTGTTCACAAGGCTGTAAGAGATAGTCTCAAGGATTTGAAGGTCTACCAACTTGGGACTGGGGCAAAATGAGACCTTCTATTACGACCAAAATAAAACTTGACCTGAGATTAGACGGCAAAGTATGTGCTCGTATTTCGCGGGGCTTGAGGCAAAGACTGGTAAATCACAACACTTATGGCGGGGTTACCTAGAGTTAGAAGGGCGACAAGATTGTAAGCAGGTTATACAGAAGTCCCATACAACGACTCCATCCATAGCATGATTGATCATGCGGGTTTCCAAATATTGAATGCAAGTCAGCGCGAGGGTTGTAGCCGGAGTCTAGAAAGGATACTGTTCAAGACCTGAGATGCAAGTCAGCACCGACGTTGCCGCTGGTGTCAATATTCATGATGCGAAATGAATGGAGAAGCTTCAGGATAGTCAGTCTAGGCCTGAGCTTGAGTGTCATGGAATGTCATGATAGGTTTGGGAGAAACTACAAGGTGTAGATAGGGCATATTGAGGTGTATATAAAGATATCTGTGTCACGCCCGTTTTGCCAAACTGTCTATTAATTTTCAACTAACATCTCCAGCTACTCAGGCTCTACATTATCGTTCCCACTGCCTATCATCAAAGTCATCGACATATTCAGAGCCAAAATGCAGTCAATCCTCACAATCGCCACCTTGGTCAGCGCCGCCTTCGCCGGCGTGATCAACCGAGCCGAAGATGATGGACCAGTCAACATCCCCGTCGACAGCGTTGACAACCCCACAGGGGACACGATCCAGGCCATCACGCACTTGTATATCTGCTCCGATGCCAACTTCTCCGGCCGCTGCCAGAACCTGGAATCCAACACTGGTCAATGCTGTAAGTTTTACCCAAGGCGATGCCATGACGGGGAAATTGGAATGAGATCCTCTCCTAACATTGCTCCGTCTAGACAACTTGTACAACGGCTTCAACGATGTTGTTTCGTCGCTTGGACCTGATGCCGGAACATCTTGCACCATCTGGGAGTCAGTCTATTCCAATGTTGCAAGTGCTTATTGCAGTCTCGAACTAATCGCTAACGCATGAGCAGGGATGGTGGGTGCACAGGAGCCTCCATCGTCAACATTGTCAGCCCTGGCATCTACAACCTTGCCGACTCCATCTGGAACTTCAACGACAAGAGTAAGTGTCCACGACTTTTTATAATATCACTCAGTATTAGAGAAAACCCCTTTTTTACTCAGATTGCTAACTATTGTCTCTCCTGCCAGTGAGCTCCTACAGATGCGTTTAGGCCCATCCAACACCGTCCACGGGCGATCCACAACTACGCCCTCCGTTCAACAGAGGAAGTGCACGTAATGGCTCCGTCCAACGTTCAGTGGCATGAAAAAATCAATAGATGACGCATTGCAGTTACTGCAATATTGTCTTCTCACGGTAGAGAGTTTGAGGGGCAAATAGGGATAAGCGATAACGACTACGCCTTGACATGTATTTACTGTTTGTATGAAGTCATCTACGTTATTGTCTGCTAAACGTATCATCAAATGTTCGACCCTGCGATCTTTGTGGTAACTATGCCGAGTATGATGCTAATAATGCATCGCAAGTTCGCGATTAAAGTACATGTATCAACGGCTTGGAGCCCGGTTTGTGACCGAGAACCCGCACACCTTCAACCAAGTTCCCGTATAAGTGACAAGGAAAAATATTATACCTCTACAAATCAGTAGAAAAGACAGATATCATACAGTTGTAACAATGTCATGCTCGTAGATGAACCCAGGTCAAGAAGGTGGGTCAAGGTTCGCCGGACGACAGGCACTTGAGCATTGAGTTTCTGAGCCCATGCATCAAGACCACGAGGTAAATCACGACTGGGCAGAATGTCATTTCTCATATGTATTGATAGATTGTGTAGAAAACCGAATCGTAAACTCCTGAGCGCGTGCAACTTCTCAATCCGGTGTGGTACTCCGATCGGCCGCTGGCCATGACTACGCTACACCGTTGCTGAGACTGGGCTCACCATGTTAGAGTTCACTCCCCTCTATGTCCCGAGTAAATCAACGTGTATTCGGGCCTCTGTTCGAGCATCTCCATAAAGAGGAATTGAGTCAGTAATTGAAGGACATCAAAAGTTGAACCCTAGCGCCACACGTGAACGTATTCCTTACAGCATTGGCATCCAAGGTCAAGGAAGTTCCCTCTAGGCTCGAGGGATCGGCATACCCCCCGATCGCCCTCCGGCGCCCGGGGTGCTGTTCAGGCACGGCCCAACACCAATCAACCGCTCCTGAGTTCCCCATGAACTTTCCAAGTCGGGTAGGTGGAGTAAAGGATTACCGAACCCCAGAGTTCGGGTTGAAGTTGTCTTGGAAGCAGGATTAACATCGGCTGTCGGAAATAACAGCTAGGAAACGAAAGAATTCGTGACCGCCATCTTGGAGCAAGATGCTTCTGGTGATATGGTTTTCCGGATTGGCATCTATTCCGCTTCGATTTGTCTGCTGTAGCGTTGATGTATCTGGTACTTGTGAATATCAATCAATGCCGTCGATAGACTCAACCTCTACCTGTGCAGCTGAAGTTTCGCTTTTATAAGTTAAGTATTCAAACTTCAACAATGCTCGTATCTGACCAACGGGCAGATGGAAGTCAAGACGAAAGACACAAAGGTCCCAGTCATGTGATAAAAGGATTTCCACAGAGACGTCGGTGGCTGAAAGTCTAACTCTAGAAAGTTGACGAAAAATGACAACCCGGATCGCCGCCCGGGGAGTAAAATCCCTTCACCCCCTTCCCATCCGCCACAAAGTAGAACGCGGAATCGCAAAACTCCAAGCCATGTCACTCTTTTGAAAATCACCACAATGCATCTACCTAAGCTCCTGTTAACCACACTCCTCCTCGGCCTGGGGGCCACCGCTGCCGTCTCTATCGAAGACGTCGCAGACATCCCAGACGCCGGAATGGCAAAACCACCTGCTCACATCCCAGAGAAGCCATGGATGATATGGGGTGTAAGAAACCACCAACCATACTCTCCCAAAGCCCAAGAAACCAAGAACATAGTGAGAGCTAATAATCGTGTAGATGTGCGCCGTGGCATCGAACCAATGCATCATCCACGGGCCCCATGGTGAGCGCAGATATCAGTGCAAGAACTTTGTTCGTGGCCCATTCAATTTGTCCCCGCAATTCTTAAAAGGGAGAGAGAGACAACTAATGGTTCGCCGTGTATGTAGTGTACGAGAGATGGGGGTACATGTCGTGGACAGTACACGTCAAGACCGCGCATCAAGACTAGGTCCCACTGCAACTGAGCGCCATTGGGATCTGATCTTGTGCCTTTCTTGACCTTGGGCCCGACCGGCGGCATCCCATTTCGAGTGTCGTTGGCTTACACCTACATGTATATGCCGGATACATGAGAAGACTCGATGCGACCATTAGAGATCAATGAGCGACTTTTGGAACACTCGTGATATCGGACAAGGAAGTCAAGGTTGTCATTGTCGACATATGCCAGCATTGGGGTGGACCAAAATATGGGTTGAGCCTCAATTGCCCTTGCCTAGCAAAAGATCTTACAGAAATTGCTTGTGGTTATGGAGGAAATGGGTGTTTGAGTACGATTCCGTTATTTACTGTCAACTCGAATGAACTTTGCTTTCATGTGTGCTAGGAAAAAAACATCGCAAACAGAACCATCAAGCCGCATCACAACTTGACATTCGGAATCTCGAATGTCTGCACCATCTTGGTCTCAAAGTAGCTCCAGAACTTAGTCCCGCTGATGGTGGTGTCGGTCGCCTGCACGTAGCGATCACCAGTTCCAATCTGCGTCCTCCACCGCGTAACCGTAGCTCCGTTCGTCGATGCCTGCGAAAAGCCGCTGAGGTCAAAGTTGAGGTATTGCGCCGCGCCCCAGTTGACAGCAACGATGATGAGCTTCGAGTTAGCAGCATCATAAGCCGCGACAACGTTATCCGAGCCGCCGTCCAGAATACGCATGCCCTCGCGGATGTGACGAGCGAACTGTGCAAAGACGAAATACTTCTGGTTCGCTGAGCCCAGCGTGCCGGCCTCATTGTCCGCGTCAATGACACCCCAGCCGCCGCCATCAAGGACCTGCCAGTATACCCATCCGGTAGGCTTCAACCACCGGAAGTCGAGAATCATGTTGCTCGCTAGCCTCTCGCCCGTCGCGTCGCTCTCGCTGTACTCGCTGTTCCAGAGACGGAGAGCGCGCGCCGAGGCGAGGGAGTAGACATTGTCGCGGGCGCCGCTGGCATACTGGTATCCGTGGACGTTGATTCGCGCGACGTTCTTGAGGGCGGCGTCGCCGAGGTTCTGGAGCGTGGTGACTGCCTGGTCGTAGTAGGACTCGTCCGAAGCGGCAATGGACATGGTTGTGAGGCCGCGATTGTCGAGCTCGGTGCGGAGGTAGTTGATGATTGTCGCCTGCGTGGCGACATCAATGTGGCAACCTTCCTGCGTGCCGTCTGCCTTCCACCAGTTCGCGGTGGGCTCGTTAAAGGGCTCGACGGTCTCGAAGGTGATGCCCCAATTGTCCTTCGCGTACTTGGCAATGCTGGCCATGTACATAGCGTGCTGCTGGAGGTTCCACGACTGGATGTTCTCGCTGCCGTCGGCGGAACCCGAGGGGTTGTGGTTCTTGGTTGCCCACCACATGGGTGAGTTGGAGAAGAGCTCGAAGCGATTTGCGCCGCGGCTCTTTGCCTTTTGCATCATGGTACGCTGGTTCACGTCAACATCCCACTTCCAGGCAGACGAGGCCGGGTCGGTGTTGGTGTAGTCGACCCAGTGCCCGTCAATCTGCCGGGATGCCATCATATTGGTCGAGACCACCATGCTCTCGCCGTTGATGCTGTTCGTGCTGCAGGCGCCGGCATTGTGACGGACAATGTTGAAGCCGAGACCAGGCAGGCTCGTGCCGCCGAAGGTCGTGGTATTGGTGGTGAAGAAGATGTCGGCGAGGTCATCGCGAGTCCCGAAGCGCTTTGCCCACCAGGCGAGAGAGGTTCCCCAGCCCTCCCAGGTCCCGCGGTTCGACTTGGCGTCGATGGTAGTTGTTGTGTCTGCTGCGGCGGGGGAGATGGAGGCCAGGCTCACGGCCACGGCGGCGAGGGTCTTGAAGTGCATGGCTGAAGAGATCTGAGAAGCCGGGGCCTGCAGGGACAAGTAATTCAGATGAAACCCCAAGACAGATTGTCTGCTTCTTATGTTCTCACGAAACTTACGCAGCCAAGTTCACCTCCTTCTCTCAAGTGAGATGACGGGAACAGGGGCGCTGACTCGAATGGTGGACCTCGTATATTAGAGTACCATCCTAAACGGGGATACGCGGGTCGGATGAGAGCTTCAGTCTCTTGAAAAGCGAAGCTAGAATAGCCCGAGCTATCGGTTCTATCAGTGGTGACTTAACCGGGCCATCGGTCGTTCGCCAAAACGGCGGTTGGGACGCTTCTAGGAAACCAAGCTCGGTCGGTTGGGTCCGGCACGGATGTGGCGTCGATGGTGGTTAAGGATCACGTAGAGTCTCGAGCTCGAGCTGTGCCCCGCAGTCTGAGCGAGGATGCGAGCGGTTCATTCCATGTTTAGAGTTAGATTAAGTCAACATACCCACTTCCTGGCCCCTGCCTGTTTCTGGCACCATAAAAACGATGGGATCACAACCCAACCTCCTCATTACTATTAACTATTGATCCTCAACCTCACCCACTACAATACAGCTGCCAAGCTTCACTAGGGCAATTAGACTCGCTGGATTCAACTATAATAACTTCTTTTTCACCTACTTCGATCTAAGCCCGCTATATATCCCTAACATTAGCGAACTTGTATTAAAATTAACTTTAATAATTTTTTAACTTACTTCTTTATTATAGTATTAATAATTTAAGCCCTTAAAAGGTCTAGTTACTAGTAGGTAGCTGCTAGTTATTAAGTGTTACGACCTAAACAGTTGGTCCTGTCATGGCGTAGCTATATAATGCAGAACAAGGGAAAATGATGCGGAGTCATCATTATCGAAGCTTTTGCTTTGTGCCACAGTTGGTTGCCATGACCTGCTCGTAACATTAAGCCTACTTTATAAAGCCTTTTCTTATCTTTTTAAATAATAGTTATTAAGTATTAATATTATTATTGAGTTAAGTATAACTAACTAGCTTAAGTTAATTAAAGTAGTTAATTAACTATTACAATATTTTTTTTTACCCTAACTAGTTAGTTTAGGGATAATAGGCTAGGTAGTAGAGGTAGATAATAATAAGGGGTTTATTAGGGGCTTAATTAGTTATAAAATATAGACCAGTCTACTTTTAACTACTTCTAATATTTAAGATTAATAGATTAGTAAGTCGAGCCTTTTAATAATAGGCTAAGAAGTTGTTGGAAAGGTAAATCTTTTATCTTATTATTTGCCTTATTATTCATATAAAGTAAGCATATTATATATCATATTAATCTATAAGAGCTATAAATCAATATAGATATTGGTTACGTAAGCAAGATTGGTTATGTAAGCTTACGTGAGCGAAAGAAGACACTGGAAGGTAATAGAATGCACTGGAATTTACTTGAAAGGTATTACGTATTACGATTACGCATTCACTTACGTATATGTTTATTAATTATAATATAATTAATAAGCAATGGAATATTCTAGTTGGAGGATCTTATGCCTATATAAGTGCATCTTTTTACCTACTTAGACCTTTCGTTAAGCAAGCAACTTCTCATATAGTAATCTAACTATATACTCTCTTTACATTTATTAACCTCTTTTATATACGCTTAACTACCTCTATATTCATATATTCTTGCTTCTATATGAATATTCACTATTTAATACTCTTGTATAAGAGTCTTATTACTTACCTCTTAAAGCTATCTTGCCAGAATTCTTAATATATTAATAGGGCATTTATTAAAGTTATTAGAAACTAGTTTAAGTTCTTTATTGTCTTTAATATTAAAGATATTAAACTAACGAATAGATAGAATATAAATGAGATTAGTATTTTTAAGAGTTAGAGAGTTAATAGACTAGTATTAAGTATAGTTAAAATGAAGTTTATTTATAAAAAATAACTTAGATCGAGAGTATAAGTGTCTATTATTAAGTATATCTTAGCCCTAAGTAGGGTTCTTTGTCCCCTTATTATTTTTAAGGGGAAGACTATTTAATAATAATAGTTTTTATTATATCTTAATTCTTATAATAGCTAGGAGTTTATAATAATAAATAATAGCTAAGTTAGACTATGAACTTAATGGTAATTAAATAATAATAAAAGGTCTTTATCTTTTAGATTATATTTAAGATTAAAGGAGAGGCTAGACTATTAATTATAAATAGGTATAGGAGTTATATAACGATAGAGTTTATATAAAATTACTATATTAATAATATTCATTTACTTTTCTTATTATTATACTCCTCATATATTTTCTAACCTCTCGACTAGTCTATCTTTAGCCTAGTTAAAGTAGCTTATTAAAAGGATCTCAATTACTTATTTTAATAGAACGATTTTACTATTATAAGTAAAAGAAACTTTTCTAGCACAATAGCTTTAAGAGGTAAGTAATAAGACTCTTATACAAGAGTATTAAATAGTGAATATTCATATAGAAGCAAGAATATATGAATATAGAGGTAGTTAAGCGTATATAAAAGAGGTTAATAAATGTAAAGAGAGTATATAGTTAGATTACTATATGAGAAGTTGCTTGCTTAACGAAAGGTCTAAGTAGGTAAAAAGATGCACTTATATAGGCATAAGATCCTTCAACTAGAATATTCCATTGCTTATTAATTATATTATAATTAATAAACATATACGTAAGTGAATGCGTAATCGTAATACGTAATACCTTTCAAGTAAATTCCAGTGCATTCTATTACCTTCCAGTGTCTTCTTTCGCTCACGTAAGCTTACATAACCAATCTTGCTTACGTAACCAATATCTATATTAATTTATAGCTCTTATAGATTAATATGATATATAATATGCTTACTTTATATGAATAATAAGGCAAATACTAAGGTAAAAGATTTATCTTTTCAACAAGAATCGATAAAACGACTTCTTTAAACCTTAATAATAAAGTTCCTCTTGATAAAGGTATAGATCTAGCCTTTTTTTAATAGCTACTTATCTCTAATAATAAGGAGGATTTGTTTTATAAATTCCTTTACCTATTAATATATGGCCTAGTAAAGCCTAAATACGAACCTATTCTACTAGCTTACTCTCTTAGTTAAGAGATAGCCTCTATAGATTAATAAAGGCCAGTTCCCTAGTCTAATTACCTTGGAGATATAGTTAGAGGGTTATTTATAGTATCCTATACTCTAATAAGGCTCTTTTTAACTCTTGCCGTTTGCAATATTCTCGAGAGCCTAACAAAGCTAATTTTCTGTCTATTAAGGCATTAGGTATTGAAGGAGGTATGTGCAAAAGATGAGTCTGTTTAGACGCGAATTGAAAATGTTGTGATAAAAGGAGGTTAGGGGTGGGCATGGTGTTGTGGTGGATTTTCGCGTTTTTGTGGGTGCCAGAAACAGGGGGGGGCCAGGAAGTGGGTATGTTGACTTATCAGCGACAACGTGGTGCCGGGATCCGACAGACAGTAGCGACAAATTGTCCGTGAATGGAAGGCCGATACGAGCCCGATTATGATCGCCAAGCTGTCTTCTACTACCGGATCGTTAGTCAAGAGTAAGATAGAATGGTGAAGGGGGTAGAAGGAAAACGAATCTGATTCAAGGCTGGCATGCCTGAAAATACTGTACAAGAATGCGCAAAACGATGAAAGCTATGGATACCAAACGTGTCCCCTGAGTATCCTGAGTCAAGACACCAGTCTAAGCCAGATGCATGGCCCGTCGTATCCCGTTTGCCAATTCATATTCCAACACATCATCATCATCATCATCCCCCGAAAGCCGCCAATGTCTAGCCCCAATCCTCCCCGCATATGCGACCCAATGTGCGTGCCTGGAAACCCCAAGCTCGGTAGAATGGTATGCTGCGCGGCCAGTCTAGACTGTTTAGTCTGGAGAACGCGGGGAAAAGTGCCATGCTGGATGGTAAGTTGGTAACATGCATCGAGAGGTGTCAGCGGCGCAACCCGCTGCCGCGTCTGCATTGGCGGAAGATCATGCAAGCGGCATTTGGTGCCTGGTCCGTCCGGCTCCGCGATCCGCGGACATGTCATTAGACTTCTTCCAAATTTAGTCGCAATTTGGGGTACATTTGGCCATGGATTAGCATTCGGGGGTAAGCGGGACAATCTGCATATACAATACGAATTAGCTGGGTTTTGAGCAAAGGTTTGTACGGAGTATTGACATACAGTCCGACGGCAAGTTTGCTAAGAAAGCAGATGACAGAATCGCAACTGTGCTTGATTACAAGCAATTGTGGTCGATGAGCTAAGAGCAAGCTTAGTCATGGTAAAGGCGCATCTGCTTTTGAGTTAGAAGAGGATAAAGCTTGTTCGAACAATCAACGCCAACTCACCTTTGCAACTTGGCGACTGTGTAATCATACCATGCCGCACATGGAGGTGGCATAAATGGAGCTTCTGTTCCCGGGCAAGAAAGCAGTAAACCGTCCAGACCATCAGTGTCGAGCTTTTCTCTTTCTCGTGGGCGTCTGAGGATCATCCAAACTCGATGCACACACGCCCGCTCTGGAGTTCTGCCCACTCGGCTTCCGGCCGATGACCTCCGGGCTAGTGGGAGATGTAAACACAATAGGCGTTTTGTTAATACCCCGCCGTCCAACAGTCGTAGGCGTCGAACTGCTCGGGGTTCCGAGAGCGATAGGCAAGCCGGATCCAGAAGGCGCAAAAGGTTTGTTGCAGGCCGCTGAGGCAGTGGGCATGCCTTCTCGCATTCTAGCTTCAAGCTCAACCTTTCTAGCAATCACCGCCTTGGCCCTGAGAGCGTGTTGCTCTTCCTCAAGCATCGCAAGTTGCATGAACAAGCGCTGAGTCTCAGCATAGAATGCATCCCTATCGGCCTCGGCTTTCTCGACAGCGGCAAGAAGCTCGGGAATCTTGTCAGCCGGATAGGGTGTCACCCGCGGCGGACGGCCATCCTCAAGAGCCTCGACATCTTCGATAGCCCGCACAAGACGAGCATTTGTCGCAGTGACACATTCGTCGAGAATTATCGGAGTGGCATTATCCTCACGTGTCAGGTCCCTGTATAGGACCAACATCTCCTTTATCTCGACTCCCTTCTTATTGTGGGCGACAATCAGATCGCGAAGCTGCTTAGACGCATCCTTGTGAGAAGTAAGCTTCGGCCCGTTGGGAGTGGCTTGGCTGCGCTCGCTAGCCGGCTTGGTAGGAGTTGAGGGAGCTGAGGAGGCACTAGATGAGCCTGTGAGGTCCACGTCGGGAGTCTTAGCTCGGCGAGCGCTGGACAAGTCAATCGGAATGGGAGTGTCGTTGAGGGGAGTACCTCCATCATCCGTCATGGTGTCTGTGGTGCCGCCGATGGTCGCTTCTGAAGGAGTGGCGGCCGACATGTTCTCGTCAGGTGCCCGAGGGCTGCGGTTTCTTGCCTTGGGTCTGGGATCCTTTTTGAGATCCACGGACTCTTCAGATACGTCGGTCTCGCTGTGGTCGGGAGAAGCTGGGTTCGAATTGTCTGCCTCGTAGTTGGCGTCCTGGACGGTGCGGTCTTTGGGCAAGGGGGAGGATAAAGATGGGAGAGGAAGCCTGCTGCGACCGGAACGAAGGCTGCCGCGAGGAGGAGATGAGGTATTGGATGATTTGGTGCCAAAATTGAGGGATGAGCGAAATTTTCGAGTGGCCAAAGGTGAAGTCGGCTGAAGGCTGGTGATGTTTTTACCGGCAGCAGGAGAGGCAGGAACGACTGGGGACCCACCACCTCCCATACTTCTGGTTCTGACCATCGCGGTGACAACTTCACCTGAAGGAAACAACAATCAGCTCAAGAACCGCACAATTCGAACCAAAAGAAAAAGCCAGCTCGAAAACGGTTCGAAGCCGTGGTGGAGGAAACTTACGATCCGGCGCCCCAATCTGTCGATGCGCCTTCAGTACTTTGCGTGTTGGCGATGGTGGCTTTTGTATATCGCGGGTGGCAAGAGACGCGTGTTGAAGAGAAGGAAGGTGAAAACAGCAAACAGAGGTTGGAACAGAAGAGGTTTCGACAGGTTCTCGTTGGAATATTCGAGGTCCTTGAGCGGGATGAAGACTCCCCTCCCCGTCCTGGGCCTTCGAGGCTGGGCATTGCGTCTTGAGTCTCATTCTCAATCAGCATGACGCTGGACGACGGTGAAGGCAGTGAGTGGGCAGTGAGTTGGGCAAAGACTGCCTCCTACTCTTGCTCACGAGGCATTCCGAAAAGCTCTTGTTCGAAATCATCTTCCCCAACAAACGCACCACGAATATCAACAAATCTCAAAGAAGCCAGGTACGTTCCCTTTCTCATTGTTCATTCAATCAAAGGCGAGCCACTAACTACCAACCAGTGTCACAATGGATCTTACCAGCCTCGAAAAGGTATTACTCTATATTATACCGACACCATGGCGGCTGCCACTGGCCTAGCTCGGGGAGAGATGATGCGACGCCTAATGATTACCAACGAAGACGAGCTCCGGTCTGAGCTGCCTACTCAAAAGCATACTCAAAACGAACATATCATTCACGAATACTCCCGAGAAGGTCTTATATTTTGCGAAGACAATTCAAGTCGTGGCCTAGGCTCAGAATTCAGAACAAATCTTGAACACAATTAGCCCGGGTAAGATGACTCCTGTCTGCAATATCATTACGGAAACCGGGGTCCTAAATATTCATGTAGCTCGACAACTTGAAGCCATAACGCTGCCGCCCTAGCTAATCTATATGCAAGCATGAGCAGGTATCACAGCGCCTACCAAGACCTCTGAGGCCAATGGAGAAACCATATACCGAGCGTCATCGATCAAGACGTGGAGTGGATCACGCAAAGACTCCCGCTGTCATATTTATAACATAACAGACTCCCAGGTTCTGCGGCACCATAGTCAACCTTGAACCGACAGGGCATCAAAATATGGCCTCACCAAGACCCGCTACACAGCACGAAGCCAGTCTTTTCTCCAAAGCCAGTCGCTCTGTCTCGTTCTCATTAATCTTTTCTATTTATTTGTTCATAATTGTGCATATCAAACGGTGGAAGACTGGCTTCGGGAAATACGTCATAGACTCAATTAAGCCTTGTCTTGGTCGTACAGCAACTCGGAAGTTTGCAGCATGATCATGGATGGCTGCCCATGGTCGCGACGGGCCCAGTAGGAATCCCTTCACCTTACAACCTTGAGGCCGGACCGACCTATGATCCCAACTCTGCCGGACTTGAACACATCCGTCGCCGAAGGCATATACGGCTTCTTCGGACTTCAGAGACTGTTGCGATTATGGTGCCTGCTGACGAGGATCCTAACTACAGGGAGAATCAAAAGAATACCTTTCAAATCTAAATTCAAATCTGGGTTCAAATCTGGATAGCATGCTGCACTTCCCTTAACCTGATACCAAAGACGACAACCACACTACCTAAGCTCTCCTACAATGGGTGCTCTCCGGGACTTTGGCTTTGAACCCAAACTGCGCAGTGACATTTCAGAGCCTCACCTTCCCCGGGCCGGACTTTGAAAGACTGGGAAATTTCTGTATATTTCGCTTCACCTAAGCATCTAGCGATTGACCGGTTCCTACATGGAGCTGAATAGTCTGCATACACCCCGGGCCTTGTGAACCCTATGAAACAGTAGGGCCTCAAAGCAGATGGTGACGCCGAAAGAGACTAGGACAATGGCGAAGTAGCCATCGTCCTTACTTACTTGAAGCCACAGCCAGGCAGTCTGGGGGTCGTCCTGGTTCAAGCACCGCGTACTGGGCGCACTTCAAGGGAATTGAAGACAAGGCCTTACAGCAATTAGGTCGCTCCTTCCCTCCCTCACCCTTCCTTGGAAGTATGTGCTGCTCTTCCCGTCTCAGAACTCCGAACCAAAGCTTTTACAAACACACCATCCAACCCAACTCCTAGTAACGGAGTTCTCACTTTCAAGAAAGCAAAACTTCACTACCTCCACAAGCAATCACATCTCACCTTTGGGTTGTATCAAGCTCGAACCTACGCGTAAGTCTGGGCCCTGATCCGTCAGAATCTTACACTCTTATTCGTTCCGAGCTAATGATCACCGTAGAATGGCACCCTCCCTTGAACAAAGGGTCATTGAGGCACTCGAGGAGTGCTCCACCGACACAGACACCCATTTCGACGAAGTCTTGCGCGTCGCGCTGAAGGTTACCCAAAAGATGCTAGAACAAGCTGATCCCACCGAAACCGCTGCGCCATTTGCCTCAGCTGTAACACCGGGCCGTCCCGTCGCTCAGAGTGCTCTCCTAGCCTTTGTCTCAGCTCCCGAGGCTGCTCCTGCTCAAGCGACCGCTTCAGTCGCTCCTGCCAGCACCGGTATGGCTGCTGCCTGTCGAGTCCTACGAGCTGCGCTTCCCTTGGCGATGGCATCTGCCCGCAAGCAGGCTGCCCGCGATAGCGTTTCGCCGACTCCTACAGTTGGCGAGAGAGATGATGACAGGGATGAGTTCGTCTGCGAGTTCGCTGGCTGTGGTCGCTCGTATGAGCACAAGGGCTCTCGCACTCGTGTACGTTTCTCGTGTTTTGAGACCAATGACAACTTTGCTGACTTTCTTCGGTACAGCATTACAAGGTCAACCATGGCGGTCGGCGTCCTAGATCTAGTTAAGAGACTCGTCCGACCTTGGAATGAGGGGTGGTCTACAATTTCAGTGTTCGTTTAGGAGAAGGTCTCGTTGCATGGAGACCTCGAGTGGTAAGTACGCTCTAAAATGTCACTCAAGTCCGAGAACTGACTCTAATTGTGAAGTCATACGTCGACTTTCACCTTTTCATATTCATTTTAGACCTCAAGCAACTCAATAAAACCTCCTTTTAATGCGCGTTCTCTCTCTGCACTTCTATATCATTGGAGCTTTGTCGTACAAAAACGAATCCGTAATTGCCGGCCAGCAATTACGCCTTATTTACCACAAGCTTTGTATGATTTCAACGTTCGTCCATCATGGACAAGTTGAGTTCTTCCACCGCGGGCCGTCTACGATGCAGACTCCTCCTTTCCTCGTGGTTTCTGAGGTCATGGGATCATTCGTGTGCGTTGTTCAGAGTGGTCAACCACGTCAAATCAGCTGCGCGGCATGACTTTGGCAAACTACCTTACTTAGAATGGCATCATGTCACTGCAAAGTCCAAACGTTATACTTCGATATTATACAAAACGCAACAACTACAAGTTGCCAAGTAGTTTTTGTTTCGGATCTTACATCAACTCTTGATAGGCAAAGTCCACATATACGGAGAAGACATCTGTTCTCAAATCGCGGGCAGGAGAAGGAAGCTCATCTGAACACGAGAGTGGACCGGCTGCCCAAGAGAGCTCGTGAATCACTCAACGGGGACAAGGCTGCCCCAGCCCCCTGATCCGGAGTGTATTCACGACGCCTACAAGGTGTCAACATGAATATGTGGAGGGCATCGCCTTCATTCCCGGAAACGAAGGCTGCAATCAGAATTTTCACTTCAAGGCTGCACCTTCCACACTCTTTGTTGTTGTGTTTTTTGCCTCTCCACCTATCCATCCGTCTTTCGTCAGATTTTTCTCCTTCGTCTCGCCTCTCCCACATTGTTTTCAAGTCAACCCACTCACTCAAATCACCTTCCCCGGCACAACGACTTGACACTTTATTCACCATCCCATCAAGCAAGTCTATCGCAAAAACGACGCCGTTAATTACGGGCAGCAATTAACGCCATATATACCCTACGACAAAGTCCCTTACTGCTATCTGTGCCTGAGATTCCATCGCGTAAGTATAGGAATCTACTGGTACAAGACGCAGCCAAACTGACGAAAAGGTGATTTAGGATGGAGGACTGGCTGGAGGACACTGTCCTCGATGCCCTTGAGCAGGTCGCCGCAGGAACAAACCAGAGCATGATTAATGTTCTTGTCGCTGTCCAGGGAGTCGTTGACGACTACGACTATGGTGACTCACTGAACACCAATACCGCTGTTGCCGACATTGGATCCTACGCCAGAGGATGGAACCAGCTCAGTGCCAATAGCCTTGCGATTCTTCCCGCACCTACTGCTACGGGCTTGACTGGCCACAACGCCAACACCAATGGTGTTGTATCTCATCAGGTCCCTGTGTCTCAAGCCATATCGGCAACTCCTGCCAGCCGCTATCATCAGCAGCTTCACGGAAATGGGCATCTCGTCTCTGTCACCGGCGCCAATAACCCAGCCATGGCTCCTTTCAACGGCCAACTCCCACTCAATACTGGCAACGGCACGCCTTCTCGTCTTCGGAACACAGACATCTCACCCCAAGTCATCCACAGCCAGATAGCCCAGGTCAATGCCGAGTTAGCTCAGGCACGCCAAGTCGAGATGGGCTCTGCCATTGACCAGGCGTCGGGAAGCACCGCGGGTGGTTCTGCCCCGAGTGATTCTGCCTCGAGTGGTCCTGACACTGAAGTGTCTCAGACCTAGTACGTCTGTGAAGTTCGAGGATGCAGCCGCCGATTCAAGCACAAGAGCTCACGCACTCGCGTAAGTCACTCCTTGCAGGTTGTTCACCCATCACATCATTGCTAACTTCACACAAGCACTGCAAGAAGGATCACTCCGCTTCGAACTAAGTCCTGGTGTGACTTTTTCGTGCACATAGGGAGCGCTTGGCAGTCGGATGACGGATTTGGAAGCTGAAGTCTGGCTATTCATTAGCTCGGCCTAGAAGGCGGACAAGGCAGCCGGAGATATCTTCCTTGAATTAAAGGAAGCTGCTGGAAATCTCGTTGGGGTGGCTTCCCAGCAAAGGCATCTCAAGCGGTGGTGGTGGCGGCGGTGGTGATGGTTGGATAATTGTTCCATTCTTACCTAGGAAGATCCGTATCTTGAACCCTGAGACCTTTGTTAATACCCTAAGCTTTGACTTCTGGCTTCATTTCGGCAATATGTTCTTTAGCCATGAATTATGAAGAGAGAAAGGTTGCCACCGCTTTTCACTGTTTTTTCATTGTTCCTTTTCTTCATATACTTGAACGTCGATGAGGTTTCATATGCCGGTTCTCTGGAGAAAAGGCCAATTATGGCAAATGCCATCTACTGGACTAAATTCCACCCTAGCAAGTTCCGGCTTTCCTCTCAAAATATCATAGTAGTCCTAACCCCGTTTTGGTGAAAAAGTATGCCCTTTCCCGAAGCCATCCGGCTTTTTTTCCACCTCAGTCCTTCAAGGCGTCTTTCCCGCCTACCACCATCAGGAGAGGATTAAGGGCTAGGGAGAGGAGCCTGAAGTCTGGGTAGCTACTCACTTCGTCTTCGAGCACCGTGGCCGTCGATATTTTTGGGCTTGCTGGCCTCATGAATCAAGATATTAGTCGATGAATATTAATATTGCCTTTAACTTGCTTCATTGGCATATACGAGTTCAAAGATTCTTTCTGCTCCATTTATCACTGACTCACCTCGTAAAATCAAAATCCGCCTTCAACCACATGTTTACTGACTGTGGCTGGACATCTCTGTGTCGACCAGGCTGTGGTTGAGACCTGACCACCTGCCCATCTTAACTTCCATTTCTAGCTGGCCCTCTCTGGTAAGGTAGCTCCTGCACTTTTATTCTTTCACTTGATCACAGCCTCGGCACAGCTTTTCATTTTTTTCCTTTTTTTTTCCCTAGTCGATGATGTTCGCTAAGCTCCCTTGAGCAATGGCAGGGTGACTTTTGGCGCACCCCGATAACGTCGCCGGCATCAGCGGGGAGTCCTGCTATTCCTGCCACTGGAACCAAATGCAAGACCAAATTGCCTGGCACCTGACTTCCAGAATTTCCTTACTTGGAACTGGATCACAAAGAAGCGGCTGGTTGGTGGACAATATGGTGAGTAAATTTCACATCACTTGGCTGCCTTCAAGTCCTCTTCCCTTTCCCTCAGTTTGTCTTGAACAACAGGTGGCAAAAATGAACAACATTTCATGATTGCTTTCGTATAACGAGACCACCTACCTTATGCTGTGTCCTATCCCCGGAACACACTCAGCGGTAACCATTCTCAGGCTTAATAGGACCCGACTTGCGATTTCACTGTCGCGGGGTCTGGGGCTGTTTGAGTCAATCATAAGTCTCAAGCAGTCCCATAGAGCAGATCATGCAGTGCTTCAAGACCGCCCCATCTGAATCAACTATGATGATGATGATGATGATGATGATGTATTTAACGTCTGGTAACAAAAGGACGTGCCGGGCGCTATGCCGACATGGTCTATGCTAATCTAAACTATGTTACAGGCTACCGTCTTCACCTAACGTTCCTGTTTAATGACTCGGGTAAATTTCGGAAAAGAAATTGGTCTCCTCTATCTATTTGTATAGAAGAGAGGCTCCCTTAGTAGAACCTAACAAGAAATTAATGCTTGCTTTGGCCATACGTTGGCGGAGGTAGTGCGGTGTAGCCTTGCGTCCACGCTTGTAGAAGTAGAAATAGACTGGTGTCTTGGGTTTCCCATAGCTGCAGTTGAGTAACGCATCTTGATGAGCGAATCTCTCGTGGTATGCTGCAAAGTCTCTATGATGGGATCTTGTTGCGTATAGCCTTCCTAGTAAGTGCCGAGGGAGGCGGAGTTCGGGCGGCTTGGGGTGAAGAATTATCTCGAGGTCGGCATATTGCCGAGGGCATTAGGACAGCCATTTTCTGGTAAAGGCTTGGAAGGTAGCTACTTTAGCTTGCTTTTTTAGGTGCGCTAATGAGGGCTGTGGCTGTGATTTTGGGATTAGTTTGCAGGCTTCCTTGGCTAGAGCATCCGCTTCTTCATTTCCTGGTACTCCCGTGTGCCCAGGGCACCACCAAACATAAACCCTGCCGGGGGTTATCCAGCTCTCTCTTTGTCTCCGAGTCCAGGAGGAAGAGAGCCTATTGAAGGCCCTAAATCTAACCTAGCTGCTTCCTATGCTCTAGGAGTATAGTCTAGCCGCGACTACGAAGTTGTCGAGGCAGATATGGACGTTATCTACTATACAAGCTATAGGAGCCCGGGTGGCTTCTATTAGGCCGTAATACGTAGCATATGCCTCCGCGTTATATACCTTAGTTTAGGAGCCGAGTGGTTCGGATCCGCGGAAGATCTGCTATATAGCTTAGTACCCTACCTAGCCTGCTCCGGCGGAGGTGCTGTTACCGTCCGATATCTACGACCCGTTAGTATAGATAATAATATCCCGCTTAGAGAAAGTTGCTATCCTGCCTACAAAGGAGAGGGCCTGTTCTTCTTTGGTCTTATTAGGTTCGTAGCCGACCCTGGCGAGGGCTGTCTGCCAGTCCGCTAGTTGCTCCCAAGGGGGGAGTTCTAACGGATCGATATATTCGGTATTTTTACTTACGAGGCTTGCTATTCGTCGTAGCCGTAAGTCTGGTCCTGATTTGTCCCTGAGTCTCGTTCGGAGAGGGTATCGCTCGTCCAGACGATGGATTCTAGTAGATACTGTGTAGAGCTTCGCATCCAGTATTACCTCTGCTGGGGGTAGAGCCGCTTCGTACTATAGGATCGGTATAGGCGTATTTCTGTATACGGGGACTATCGCTCTGATGGCTTTGGTTCCTATCGCGTCTAGTTAGTATAATAAACTACTAACCCCGTTTGAGATAATACGTCCGTTCTTTATCCGGCTCTTGCCGGGCCACTATACTTTAGATATATAGTACTAAGTAGGTAATATACAAGAGGTGATCGCTCGACGAAGTAAGTACGCAGGCGCGCCCCAGATAGTGTTCCCTAGTCCCCGTAATCTATTAACTACTTAGCATGCTTTTACGGAGAGGTTTCTTACGTAACTCTTGAATATAAGTTTACGGTCGAAGTGAACGCCGAGCCAGCGTAGAGAAGAGCCTTCTTTAATAACCTAAACTATATAATGCCTCCTATCCGGCAATTTTGTTGTTGTTATTGTTCTATTTAACGCCATGGCGGCAAGGGCGCAGCCGCCCTTGCGGCAGACCTCCCGGAGGGTATGTGGCGTGAAGGGTCGCAGGCTCTAGCTATATACTATATAGTACACGCCGTATCCTGACGTCCTCCAAATCTTGCTCGTGAGCTACTATGTGTTCTATCCATCCCTAGTTCCTACTGGTGCCCTAGTTCCGTTATAACCATCTGGTTTCTTAATAGAGGTAGTTTGTCGTTTGGAGGATAGGTTATGACCTATCTCCTAGTACCGTGGGCAGATCTTCTGGAAGAAGTCTGTCACGCAGAGGAAGGCCTGGAAGCCTTCAGAGTCAGTGATTAGCCCCTTGAAGTAGCGATCGAGGGACCCTATAGGTCCTACGGGCTCCTGGCGGCTGTAGGGGTAGAGGGTGGGCCACTGTTGCCTCCTCAGTAGGGTCTTTCGGCAGTAGACTAGATGGTCTGCCTCCTTAACCCATCCACAGGAGCAGGTGAGTAGTGCTTCTGTGTGGTTAAAGCGTTGGTGATATTGTTTAAAGTCCCCGTGGCCTGACCGTGCCGCGAGGAGGTGATGAAGGGCAGCCCTAGGGAGGCCAAGTTCAGGAGGGCAAGCAAGGGTAGTCTTGAGCCCTAGTTGGGTATAGCGGGGAGTTGCCTCTTGTTTCCACCATCGTCTATATTGGCGTCTTGGCCGCTCTTTAGCAAGCCACTTGATACCTGATAAAGTAGCTAGTTGGCCCCTAAGGACTGGTAGAGTTGTTCCCTCCTTAGGTAGGCTGTCTGCTTCTTCGTTTCCTTTGATACCTTGGTGCCCAGGAGACCAATGGGTTTGTATATCGTGTATCCTAGCTACCTCCTGGATCTCAAGGAAGGCCGCTTGTGAGGAGTCTGGGACTTTACCGCGAACCCCCTGAATAACGCTGGTATTGTCGATGCAGATGTGTATAGGCTGGCCTTGGGAGGTCTGAAGGGCCCGTCGGAGCCCAGCCCTCGCCCCCTCCGCCTCACCATCAAACACTTCTGCTAAGCCGAGACGGCCGCAGCCCTGGGCTATACGTTTATTGTTGCGGTAGATAACAAAGCCGAACCCTGTAGCCCCGTCAGGAGCTTTGGAGCCGTCTGAGTATACGACTGTATGCTGACCTGGCACAGTCTTGAGCCAGGCCTGGAAGATCCTAGCTGCTACTTCCTTCGTCTGTGTAACTATAGGGTCATAGGACCCTGGGAGGTATTGCGGCTGTAGGAGCGCTGGCCTTGGACACTTAGGTAAAAGGCCAGCTGTTCTTTGAAGCCTGGTCTGTTGCCGCCCTGACTGCAGCAGCCTTGGGACCAAGGGATGCTGTTGGTCAACCTTCTGCAGGCGTATAGCGAAGCGTAGTCGCGCTGCTTCGAGGGCTACCTCTGCTGTGGGAAGGCCAGCGTCTCGGATGAGGCTACTGGTCGGTGTGGTTCTCCAGACACGCAGGATAGCCCTTGCTGCTGCTGTAATAACTTTGCTAAGTCTACGGGCCAGGCCCTTCCGTCCTGAACCAACTGTAGGTATCTGTAAAGCAGTGCTACTGCTAGTATTGGTGCCGCTGTTTAGGGCTGGTTTGGTTAGGCCCGCATACCAGGTCTCAACTCCATACAAGGCTGTTGGAAGGACACAGGCAATAACCGCTTTTCGTACTGCGGCTGCTGGGAGTCCCCCTTTGGTATT